AAAATCTTTAAAAAAAAATACTTTATTTTTTAATTTTTAAATTTCTTTTCAAAAGATTTATTTATTTTAGAGTGAGAGAACACAAGCTGGAGGAGGGGCGGGGGGCAGACTCCCCGCTGAGTGTGGAGACGGATGTGGGGCTTGATCTCATGACCCTAAGATCATGACATGAACTGAAATCAAGAGTCAGATCCTTACCAGCTGAACCACCCAGGTGCCCCTAGAAATGACTTTTTAAAACATGACAACAGATGAGCCATTAAAAAACATATATTTTGCAACATAAAAATTTTGGATTTCTGCAAGAAAAAAATGTTATAAGCAAAATTAAAAGAAGAAAAACTGAGGGAAATATTTAGAATACATACAACAATCTAGGTCGAATTTCCATATACAAATGTGGGTGTGTATCCTGTAAATTAAGAAGTAAAAGACTGGTGAACCCAAAAGAATATAGTTAAAGTACCAGAATGATAGTTCATAGAAAAAGAAATAGAGATGACATTAGCACTTAAACAAATGAAAAGATGTCATTTTCATTTATATTTATATAGTTAGTAAATTATACATTAGGACTGTAGTGAAGTACCATTTTTCACCTATCAGATTGTCAGAGGTGAAAAAGTTTAATACTTTGTATTGGAAAGGGGGAAACAGTTACATACTTTTTTGCTGAGAATAAATTGATAGTATTGGAAGGCAATTTGGCAAATTTATAAAATGTGAAATAAATATACCTTACATTCTTCAGTTTTATTTCAAGATATTTATCCTATGGTACATTTTTGTAGGTACAAAATGACTAAAGATGTTCATTGTCACATTATTTATAATAGCAAAAAAAAAAAAGGGATCACTGATAGTCCACTAATAGTGGATGGTTAATAATTATAGTATATCCATACAGTGAGATACTGGGAAGCTGTTAAATGAGGAATTTCTGTAAGTACCAGTATAGCAAGATGTTCAGGAAGCATTAAGTATAAAAGCAGAGTACAGAAGAGTATTTAGAGTATTCTGCAATATACAAAAATCAAATCTGCACGTATACATAGACACGTCTTCCTCTAGGCATGAAAACTAAAAATGATTTCTTCAAGGTCAGAAGTAGTTGATTGGAGGGATGGGAATGAAAGTGAGATCTGCTTTTCACTCTGTACCCTTTACATGTTACCAATTTCTGTTTTCTTCTCTCTCTCTTTTTTTTAAAGTTTATTTATTTAAGTAATCTCTACACCCAATGTGAGGCTTGAACTCCCAGCCCCCAAATCAAGAGCTGCATGCTTCTCCGACTGAGCCAGCCAGATGCCCCCTTCTTTGTTTTTTTTTAACCATGGACTAGGAATGGTTTCTTGTTTTTTTTTTTAATATTTACTTATTTTATTTAATTTATTTATTTTTAGAGATTTTATTTATTTGAGAGAGAGTGCACGAGCTAGCACAAGCCAGGGAAGAGGCAGAGGGAGAGGGAGAAGCAGACTCCCCCCTGAGCAGGGAGCCAGATGTGGGGCTCGATCCCTGGGATTATGACCTGAGCCGAAGGCAGACACTTAACTGACTGAGCCACCCAGGCACCCAAAAAGGATGCATTTTTTTTTTTTAAGATTTTTGTAATTTATTTGACAGAGAGACACAGTGAGAGAGGGAACAGAAGCAGGGGGAGTGGGAGAGGGAGAAGCAGGCCTCCCGCTGAGCAGGGAGCCTGATGCAGGGCTCAATCCCAGGACCCTGGGATCACGACCTGAGCTGAAGGCAGACGCTTAATGACTGAGCCACCCAGGCGCCCCAAGGATGTGTTTTTAATCACTTATATATCCTTACCTCTGTCTCTTAATAAGGAAAATGTATGTATTTATGTGTATGTATATAGTCACACAGTACATCTATATGTATGCCTGTATGTACAAACAGTAATAATACAGTGATAGTACAGTGTCCTTTGATGCTTGCTGAACCAGGATGTGAGTAGAATAAAATAGTATTAATTGTATTATACAAACAAGCATTTGTGATTTAGTATCATTTATTGCATAGATCTTAGAAGTATTAAAAGAGAAACAAAGTGAGGAGCAAAGATAAATGACATCTCTGTTTAATGAACTTTAAAATCACAGACTTGCTTGGAAGTATCTACAATCCTGGAATATTTTCCAAAGTCTTAATTGAAAATGTGATATATGCAGTGGGTAAGAGATTAAAAGCAACCTGTTAAAATGGCATCCTGGTAGCCGTGAGTACACATAGTATGCAGATATTGAATCCTAAATACCATTTCTCACTAAATGAGACTAGAGCTCCTTAGAAAAGTGACTGAATATTAGAAAGTGAGGAAGTACTCAAAGGTTGATGGGGTGATGTTGGAAGGACATATGAGCAGGTTTGAAGAGATTCCCAGAGGCCAAATTATAGACAATTTGAAAATGGAAAAATGATAGATAATGAAGGTAATGGATTGTAACACTGTGAATTAAGAAACAAAAATCCAGGGTGTCTGTGTGGCTCAGTTGTAAGCGACTGCCTTCGGCTCAGGTCATGATCCCGGGGTCCTGGGATCAAGTCCCACATTGGGCTCTCCCTGCTCTGCGGGGAGCCTGCTTCTCCTTCTCCCTCTGCCTGCCACTCCCCCTGCTTATGCTCTCTCTCTCTGTCAGTAAATAAGTAAAATCTTTAAAAAAAGAAAAGAAAAGAAACAAAAATCTCTGAGTTCATAGAGATTAAAAAAAAGCAAGACGGAAAAAAAAAGAAAAACAGAAGAATGCCAATTAATACATTTGGAGGGAAAAATAGAACTTTAAAAAAAAATCACTGTTTTGTAATCATCAATATGATTGAATTGGGCAGAGATCATCAATTAATCTAAAACAATTTAGAGAAAGGTTATTGGGGAACAAAAATGTTCATGTAGTCTCAAATTCTTACTCTACATATTACTTATTAATTACTAAGAGAAAATTATGTCTTTGAAAAAGAGTGATTTGGTCGTTAACCATATTTACTGAGTGGTTGAGCTTGGCAAGTCCAGAGGTAAGGTGACCCAATATTATGTGCTTCCTGATGTGATGCAATGGGAGGTGCCTAGCAAGCCATGTGTGTTGTTCTTGCTAAGTCTTGGATCTGAGTCTAACCTTGAGGAAATTCACACATCTAGAATATGGGGAATTATGTGGGACAGCCAGAGAGGACTCATTAAAGGAGTCAGTGTTCTGAAGAATGGAGAAGTGGTAGGTAGAGGAGAATTGAGGGGAGAATATTTTATATTGATAAATGCAGTGCATGAACCTTGAATGGATTGGGGAAAAAACAGCTGTAAAGGACATTTTGGGGACAGTTGAAATTTGAGTATGATGCGTATGTTAGGTGATACTAAATTGATTATTTTCTTGAGTGTGTTAATGGTGATGTGGTTGCAAAGGGAGATGTCCTAGTTTTTTTAGCAGATTCATGCTGAAGTATTTTGGGGTGAAGTATCGTGATGTCTACAGCCTATTTTCAGATGGTTTGGTAAAACAGTTGGCACAATATATAAAGTGGGTGACTGTATATAAGGAAAAAAAGGGTATTCAATGTATTTGTGGCTTTAAAATTTTTTATAATTATAAAAAAGAACTTTTAAAAAAACTTAGTTTGAGGATTTAGAGATAAACATGGGTTATCCAGAAAAATATTAGCTAGGGTGATAAAAGCATTAAAAAAAGCTAATAATTGCGATTGAAGGCCTTGACATTTTAAATCTGAATGGGACTTTAATAATAACTCACCATACTCCCCTTTTTAAAAAACTAAATCTTATGCAAACATAGTACTGAAAAAAATATTCCTGAGGTTTTTTTGGAATTAAGATGGTCCAGAACTGCCTGTAGATTGGGGATTGGTACCTTAAAGAAGTCCTTTTTGTCCTTTGATTTCTGGGTCCGGAGATCCAGATATTGCAGAAGTTATTTTGTTTCTTTGATTACTTCCCTATTCTTCTAGTCCCATGCTTGTTACCTTATTAGTAGAAATTATTAAACCTCATAACTGATTGTTGTAAGAGTCTGATGAAAGCTACTTCTGATGTTTAATCCAGAACTCTTTTTCATGGCATGAATGTTTTTCACTCTTTAGGCAAGAGCCTCTTTTGAAAAGCAATCTACATGAAAAATTGATAAAGTTAGTTCTCTATTACTCTTTTCCCAAAACACACCCATCCTCAGTGTGTATTTGTGTGTTATCCCTAATGGGCTTTTGTGGAACCTTAATGACTTTCTGGAACACTGTTTGAAAACCCTTGGATTGTGTGGTTTTATCTATTAAAGGCCTTTATTATATTAGTTGTGGAATAGTAGCCTTAGCTTTTTCTTTTTTAACTTTTTAATATGGAAAGTTTCCAACACCGCATATACAAATAGGATAATATAATGAACCCTCGTGTAGCCATCATCACCTTTAATAATTACCCACAGTTTGTTAATCTTGTTTTATCTTTGTCTTCCTCTTGCTGAACTATTTAAAAACAAATCTCAAACATAATATTATTCACCCCTAAATATTTAAGTATAAACCTGATGACTTTAAAAACATGACTATAATACTGTATCATACCTAACAATGTTCCTTAGTATGTTATTACCTTACACATAGTCCATGCTCAGACTGTACCAGGTTGTTTCAAAAAAATTGTTTTATGGTTGATTTGCTTAAATCAGGATCCAAACAAGGTCCAGACATGGCATCTTTTTTGTCTTTTTCAGTCTTTTTAGTACCCTTTAATTTTAAAAGGCCTCTTTCTTTTTTTATTTTTTATTTTATTTTATTTTTTTTTAAAGATTTTTTATTCATTTGAGAGAGAGAGAATGAGAGACAGAGAGCACGAGAGGGAAGAGGGTCAGAGGGAGAAGCAGACTCCCTGCTGAGCAAGGAGCCCGATGCGGGACTCGATCCCGGGACTCCAGGATCATGACCTGAGCCGAAGGCAGTCGCTTAACCAACTGAGCCACCCAGGCGCCCTACCTCTTTCTTTTTTTAAATACCACTTATTTATTGACAAAACTCATCCATTTGGGGGCGCTTGGGTGGCACAGTCGAGTGTCCAACTCTTGGTTTCAGCTCAGGTCCTGATTTCAGGGTTGTGAGATCGAGCCCTGCGTCGGGCTCCACATTCAATGCAGAGTCTGCTTAAGTTTCTCTTTCCCTCTCCCTCTGCCCCTCCCCTCTGCTCTTTCCCTCCCTCTCCCTCTCCCTCTCTCTCTCTCTCTCAATAAGTTCTTAAAAAAAAAAAAAAAAAACCCTATCCATTTGTCCTGTAGAATTTCCCATATTCTAAATTTGGTTAATTGTTTCCTAGTGGTATTTAACTTATTCCCCCCACCCCGACACACACACCTTCCCCCCGCCTTTTCCTTTTCAAGAACACTGCCTAATGATTTTTTCTGTTCTATCACATCAGGGGTACATGAAATCTGATCATCCACTTTTAGTGATTGGAATACATAGTCTTTTCAATAACTTTTTTTTAAGATTTATCCATTTGAAAGAGAGAGAGTGAGAGCAGGGGGAGGAACAGAGGGAGAGGGACAAGCAGACTCCATGCTGAGTGTGGAGCCTGACGTGGGCCTCAATCCCAGGACCCTGAGATCATGACTTGAGCTGAATCCAAGAATTGGATGCTTAACCAACTGTACCATATAAAACTCAATAATATTATACACACTTGGTAAGGTACACAAATCTTAAGTGTATAGCTTAATGAATGTTCACATACGTATACATGTAACCACCACCTAGATGAAGATCAGAACGTTTCCTGTGTCCTAGCAGGCTCTCTCATGCCAGTTTCTTAGCCTTTACCCTCTGTGTAACCAGTATTTTGGCTTTGGTCACCTAAATTAATTTTCTAAATAGGGAGTTTCCAGTATATCCTCCATTTTGAACATTACCTGTTTCTGATGCTTAAATTTTTTTTTTCTTTTTAAAGATTTTATTTATTCTAGAGAGAGAATGGGGGGGAGGGACAAACAGACTCCATGCTGAGCGTGGAGCCCCATGTGGGGCCGATCCCATGACCCTGAGATCATGACCTGAGTCAAAACCTAGAGTCGGACATTTAACAGACTGAGCCATCCAGGCGCCCCTCTGATGATTTTTTTTTTAAGATTTTATTTATTTATTTGAGAGAGAGTGAATGAGATAGAGAGGGAGCATCAGAGGGGGGAGGGGAAGAGGGAGAAGCAGACTCCCTGCTGAGCAAGGAGCCCATGTGGGACTCAATCCTGGGACTCCAGGATCATGAACTGAGCTGAAGGCAGTCACTTAACCAACTGAGCCACCCAGGTGCCCCCCTCTGATGATTTTTAATAATGAATATAGCAGGCATTTAAGGACAGCTTTTGAGATAACATTTATTAGTTCTAATCACATATTTTGGAAAAGCATGGAAACGTAAGTTTATAAAGAGGGAGTAGAAAAGGCTTTATTTCTTGGTTTGGTCCATAGTGTATCCAATATGATTTTATTTGATTAATTTATATATACTGTAAACATAAAACTATATATCCTTTGCCCCCCCCACAATTCTACTTCTAGGAATTTATCCTATAGGTACACTTTATAAGATTTTTTTTTCAAGATTTTATTTATTTTTTTATTTTAGAGAGAGAGAGCATTAGTGGGGGAAGGGGCTGAGGGAGAGAATATCCAAGCAGACTCCGCTGAGTGCGGAGCTGGATGTGGGGCTCGATTTCATGACCCATGAGATCAGGACCTGAGCCAAAACCAAGAGTCAGATGCTTAACTGACTGAGCTACCCAAGGTGCCCCACTTTATAAGATTTTTATAAAGATTATTATATTATCCTACACATATACCTTTTAAGATTATTTCATATCTTCTGTTATAGAAGATTGGAGCTAACTTAAAAAATCCCTCATTAGGGATTTTTTTTGGGGGGAATTTTTGTTATTATAATATACATATAAGAATATACTTCTCAGCCATAAAAAGGAATGAACAGGCCATTTAAGTATTGATAAGAAAGGTTCTTCAAGGGGCGCCTGGGTGGCTCAGTCGTTAAGCGTCTGCCTTCGGCTCAGGTCATGATCCCAGGGTCCTGGGATCGAGCCCCGCATCGGGCTCCCTGCTCCACAGGAAGCCTGCTTCTCCCTCCCCCACTCCCCCTGCTTGTGTTCCCTCTCTCACTGTCTCTCTCTCTCTGTCAAATTAAAAAAAAAAAAGTTCTTCAAGATATAATAAATGAAAAAATAGATACATACTTGTTTGTATATGCATAGAATGGATATGTTTGAAAAGAATCACAAGAAACTGACAACATAGATTGCCTTTAGGGAGTGAAATTGGTTGGGGATGGGGAAGGTTACAGACGGGTGGGGTAGAGACTTCACTGTAAATCCTTCTGTAGCTTTTGACTTTGAAATAATTAAAATTAAAAAATTCACACACTGGAGATCTAAAATTACTAAAACATTTTATATAAATATAAGAATTTAGTCTGAAAATTTTCTTGCATAATTCTGTAAATGTAAGTATATAATATGTTGTGTTTTCATTATGTTGGTAGATGACAATTGTAGAAAAATTGGGGGACGCCTGGGTGGCTTAGTTGTTAAGCATCTGCCTTCGGCTCAGGTCATGATCCCGGGGTGCTGGGGTCGAGTCCCGCATTGGGCTCCTTGCTCCACAGGAAGTCTGCTTCTCCCTCCCCCACTCCCCCTGCTTGTGTTCCCTCTCTCGCTGTGTCTTTCTCTGTCAAATAAATAAATAAAAATCTTTAAAAAAAAAAAAAAAAAGAAAAATTGGTAGGAAGTTGGCAACTTTATTTGTATGCCATGGTATATATACTTTATAGAGTCTTGAAAAAAAATTAATATTTGCTTTGTTTTCTTTTGGCAGCATGCATACGCACTAGAACTTCTATTTGATCAATTGCATGAAGGAGCTAAAGCTCTCGACGTAGGATCTGGAAGTGGAATCCTTACTGCATGTTTTGCACGTATGGTAAGAGCTTTCTTTTTCATTCTGTTCCAGCAGCAGCATATTATGTATTTGGCTGTACATTTTTTTACTAGCAGTTTTTGAGGTTTTTGTTTTTGTTTTTAATTCTAATATAGCAGTTGGAATATGTATCACTTAGGTTTTTTTGTTGTTGCAAATAATAGAAGATTCGGTCCAAATTGGCAGAGTAAAAGGGAATTTATTTGGCTTATATAATGGAAAAGTCTAAAGTATATCTGGCTTTTTGTGTGGCTGGATTCAAAAGAAGATCAGATGTTGTTATTGACAATGGGTTTCTCTTTGGTTCTTGGTTTGGTTTTGCTTTCCTCCAAATGTTGGCTTCAGTCAGGCTCTTCCTTTGTGATCGCAAGATGGCAACCACTAGCTTCCAGACTGCATTCTTTCAAATTCGCAGCTGGTAGAAAATGATATAGAGAATCTGATTTCCAAACACTCCTCCAGGGTTATTAGAAATGAGAGTAGGGTGCCTGGGTGGCTCAGTCGTTAAGCATCTGCCTTTGGCTCGGGTCATGATTCCAGGGTCCTGGGATCAAGCCCCGCATCGGGCTCCCTCCTTGGGGGGAAGCCTGCTTCTCCCTCTCCCACTCCCCCTGCTTGTGTTCCTGCTCTCGCTGTCTCTGTCAAATAAATACATAAAAAATCTTAAAAAAAAAAAAAAAGAAATGAGAGTAGAGCTTCTTTTATATTAAGAAAAACTCTTAGAAAAATACCTTGTTTGGGCGCCTGGGTGGCTCAGTTGGTTAAGCGACTGCCTTCGGCTCAGGTCATGATCCTGGAGTTCCTGGATCGAGTCCCGCATCGGGCTCCCTGCTTGGCGGGGAGTCTGCTTCTCCCTCTGACCCTCCCCCCATCTCATGTGCTCTCTCTCTCATTCTCTCTCCAATAAATAATAATAAAAAAAAAAAAAGAAAAGAAAAATACCTTGTTTATTATACTTCAGGTTTTATCACCAGAGGCTTATCTTGGTTAGTGACTATCCAGAGTCTGGCTGGAGGCCTACTCAGGCACTTTGAGTGAAGGTTTATCTGTGCTCAGATAATCAAATCAATTCGATTATTATGAAAAATCTTGTCCCTGAGGGCCAGATAGGAAGGTTCTGGTCTAGTTAGGTTAGGATTCATGGATGATGCATCTTGGACTAGAATCCATCTAACTTGCTGTAAATATGTAAGTGGCAGACCACTAGCATGTAAGCTCCAGGGAGGCGTGAATTTTATTTAATTTTTTTTTCCTTTGATGTATCCTAAGCATCCACAACAGTGCTCGTGAAATAATAAGGACTCAGGTATTTCTTTTCAGTTGTTTTACTTGTTTTGTAGAAGTTAAGCCCTCCCTAATGGAATGTCAGGATTTTTTTTTTTTAAGATTTTATTTATTTGAGAGAGAGTGTGTGCTAGAAAGAAAGAACACGAGATAGAGAGAGAGAGAGAGAGAGAGAGTATGAGCAGGGGGAGGGGCAGAGAGGGAGACACTGGACCCGGGGATCATGACCTGAGCCAAAGGCAGACACTTAACCAACTGAGCACCCACACACCCTAGGATTTTTTTTTTTTTTAAGTTTAGACACAGTATTTACTTGATGACATGTTCTTGGTATTTGACATATTTATGGTTTTAGAGAAAAATACACTTTTTAAAAATTATTAGATTTCTGAATTATCTTTTTAAAAGTAGTGTTAATTTAATGTCTTTCACGTATTTATCATGTGCTAGTTAGTGTTCTAAGTGCTTTTCATGTATTCTTTTATTTAATTCTCACATCATTTATGAGGTACGTACCCTTTTCCTCATCATTTTACAGTTGAGGAACCTAATTCATAGACTAACTTGCCAGGGTTGTACAGTTGTAAGTAAGTGATGAAGGCTAGATGTGAACCCAGGTTGTCTGACTTCAGTCTTTATTTTGCTAAATTTATTTTACAATTAGTATTTATACTTGGGGCCTTTTTATACTTTTATGTATTTTATATTTTCCGCATATGGCAGTAGAATCAGGTGTAGAAATCCCTATAGAATTTTTTATGTAACATTTTAATGTTTAAAGTCACACTTCTGGTGGAATTTAAATTAAAAATGATTGCACCAACTACCATTTAATATTAAGTGCAGTTTAAGTATTTAATATTAATTTATAAAACATTTTTTATTAAGTATTTAATATTAATATTAAGCACTTAATATTAGTTAAGCAGTTAAGTCTTCTTTCAGGGTTTGGGGTTTAAAAATTAGAAATTGAAGAAAAAGGATTTTTTTTTTAGTATTGCAAGTTTCTGTAATTCTAGCTTCTTAATTCCTGAAACGTAATTATCCATTCGAGGGTTATAGCTGAAAAAGTTGTATTTGGTAAATATTTTATAGTAAACTGAATAACAATCAAATTGGAGGCTTGAGCTGTTTGTCTTCATTTCACATTGCAAAATATATGACTTTAGGTGAGGAAACACTTTAATGACACTTCAGAAAGACAAATTTAGGCCAGTGAGCTATTGAATTATTCCCTTATTTTCAGGTTGGCTCTAGTGGAAAAGTTATAGGAATTGACCATATTAAAGAGCTAGTAGATGACTCAATAAATAATGTCAAAAAGGACGATCCAGTGCTTTTGTCTTCAGGAAGAGTGCAACTGGTTGGTGAGTATCAGAAAACTTTAAAAATTTCCTCTTTGGAGAATTTTTATTTTCAGAAGATCCCATGCAAGCTAAATAATACTCAAGCTAATTTTTGCTTTTTTTTAAAACATTCACTTTTAAGTACTAGGTAAGGAAAACAGTTACTGTAAAATGTTATGCTGGTTCTACCTTGACCATGGTGGTTTTATGACTGTTAACGATTTCAGAAAATGCTCATGTTGTAAATTCTTTCTTCATTACTTTTGAAGAATTAATAGCAAAGTAGCAAGTGTCCATTATGAAAAATTTAAAGTGCAGAAATGTGTAAGATAAAAAAGAAACCCCTCCTTTTCTGTCTTAAGTTTTCTAGACATATAAATTATATATATGAATAAATATACATATACACACAATTTTTTTTAATTTACTCATATATTCTGTCATTTAGTTTGCTTTTTTCAGCAGTATATAGTGAACATATTTCTGTGTGAGCACACTGCACTATTATGAGAAGTAACAAACATTAAAACATGCATAAAGCATAACTGGGCTTAGCAAAAATACCCTGCTTCATCATCACACTGATCTAGAAAGGGAACAACGTTGGTAGCTTGGATGTCTTCTGCTTGCTTTTCCCTCCTCAGAACTCTTTCCCTTCTCCTTAGTCCTGACCAACATCATTACTTTTATGCATTTACTATTTAGCTGCACTTCCATAAACGATGCTCAATTTAATTTTGAACTTTAGATAAACAGAATCATACAGTATATATTCTGTGATGATTTATTTCTTTCATTCAATATTATGTTTGTAAGAGTCACCCATCTTTTATATATAATTTTTATTGCTTGCTGTATAACATTGTACTGTAAGGACATTACCAAAATTTGTTTATTCTACTGTAGGTGGATATTTTGGGTTGTTTCTAATTTGGGGATGTTCACAATGCTGCCGTGAACATATGTGTACAAAGGTCCAAATGCATATATACACTCATCATACAAGCATTCATTTATGTAGAGTATTATTACAGGTTCATAGGGTAACCGTAGATATCCAAAACTTTTTAAAAGTGATTGAACCAATTTACATTCCCATCAGCAATGTATCAGTGTTCTTAGTGCTCTATGTCTTATCAACACTTGGTATTGTTAGATTTTTCTTTTTACCCACTTAGTGTATAGCAGTAAGTCTTTGTAATTTTAATTTTGTATTTTCCTCCTAACCGTTGAGGTCGAACACTGTTTCATATGTTTGACCATTTGGATGTCTTCCTTTGTGAAATGTCTTGTTAAGATAATAGTTGTTTATATTTTTCTTTGATACGTAGGACCTCTATAGATTAGCCTTTTGTCTATTTATACATATTAGAAATCTTTTCTCCTGCTCTTTGGCATGCTTTTTCACTCATATTGGTGCTTTCTTGATTAATAGAAATACTTAATTTTATTTTTTTTAAGATTTTATTTATTTTTTTACTTGAGAGAGAGAGAGCGCGGCGGGCGCGCGCGAGTGGGGGGAGGGGCAGAGGGAGAAGCAGACTCGCCAATGAGCAGGGAGCCCGATGCGGGGCTCCATCCCAGGACTCTGGAATCATGACTTGAGCTGAAGGCAGATGCTTAATTGACTGAGGCGCCTAGGCACCCCAATAGAAATACTTAATTTTATTTATCTATTTATTTATTTATTTTAAAAGATTTTATTTATTTATTTGATACAGAGAGAAAGAGAGAGTACAAGCAGGGGAAATAGCAGGCAGAGGGAGAGGGAGAAGCAGGCTCCCACTGAGGAGGGAGCCTGATACAGGGCTTGATCCCAGGACCCTGGGATCATGACCAGAGTTGAAGGCAGTCACTTAACCAACTGAGCCACCCAGGTGCCCCAGAAATACTTAATTTTAATGTGTCAGACTTAGCTTTTTCCAGTGTTTTCTGTGTCCTTTTTTTTTTTTAATTTATTTATTTCTTCTAGAGAGAGAGTGAGCACGAGTGGGAGGGGCAGAAGGAGAGGGAAACAGAATCTGAAGCAGACTCCTGTTGAGTGCAGAGCCCAATGCAGGGCCCCACCTCATGACCCCAAGATCACAACCCTAAGATCACGACCTGACCCGAAACCGAGTCGGATGCTCAACTGACTATGCCACCCACGCTCCCCTTCTTCTGTATCTTCTTTAAGACTACTTTAGAGTTGGGATGCCTGGGTGGCTCAGTCGGTTAAGTGTCTGCCTTCGGCTCAGGTCACGATCTCCAGGTCCTGGGATTGAGTTCCTCATCAGGCTCCCTGCTCAGCAGGAAACCTGCTTCTTCCTCTGCCTGCCACTACCCCTGCTTGTGTGCTCTCTCTCTTTGTGACAAAAAAATGAATAAAAATCTTAAAAAAAAAAAAAAAAGACTACTCTAAAATCATGAAGATATATCCCTGTATTATTTCTCAGAAGCATTATTTTAGCTTTTCACTTATCTGACATTGATTCTTGTGTATGTAAGAGATAGATTCAAGTGTATATTTTTTCCATATGAATATCCAGTTGTCCCAGCATCATTTATTAAAAGTCTCTCTTTGCTTTGCTTTAAACCTCCTATAATTCTTTACACTGGGTAGTTCTATCTGAGCAGATTTTTAAGGCATAATTTTTTTTTCTTTCAGTGGGGGATGGAAGAATGGGATATGCCGAAGAAGCCCCTTATGATGCTATTCACGTAGGAGCTGCAGCCCCAGTTGTGCCCCAGGCAGTGAGTTGGGTTTTTTTCCTGTGTTTTTGTGCTTTAGTCAACTAAAGCTGTAAAAGATTTATAGAGAAGTGACTTCTGGATGATCAAAACATAATTAGATTTTTGTGTCATGCATTTTAATTACACTTAGTAGGCCATTTTTTTTCATATAAATGAGTTATATAAATGACTTGGAAAATTACTAATAGTTCGTGGCTGTCTTATTTGAAATTGCATTTGATCCATCTAAGAACGAGTACGCCAGTAGAATTAGGAAAATCTGTCTGGAGTTCATGATCTGATAATCACTTGGTGTTTTATTAAATACCAGAATGTGCAAGATTGCTAAGTGCATGGGTGAGACCAAGGAGGTATTTGTCATACATTTTACCCTCACAAAGCTTATATTCTGGAAGAAATGTGTCCTACATATAACAGGGAAATTAATGCTATGATAGCATATCACTAGCATATAATATATATTGAAGGGAAAAGAAAACATGTACTACTGTAAGAGTTCAAGGGAGGGAGAGAACTTTATGTGGAACAGTTAAGGAGACTACATACAGGAATGGAATTGGAACTGAATCTGAAAGAATAGTAGGGTTTGCATAGTTACAGCGAGATGGAAGGATATTCCAGTATTGTATAGTACATAATCAAGGAAATACTTAAGTACAAAATTGGTTTTTTGTTTTTAAAAAAAAATTTTTTTATTTTAGAGAGAGAGCACTACAAGTGGGGGGAAGGGCAGAGGGAGAAACTCAAGCAGACTCTGAGCTGAGTGCAGAGCCCGACTTGGGCTTGATCCCAAGATCTTGAGATCATGACCTGAGCCAAAGTCAAGAGTCGAATGCTTAACTAAGTCACCCAGGTACCCCCAATATTGGTTTTCTATTTCAGTAAGACTGATGAGCTTCTGTCAGCCCTTAATAATCCTTGGTTAAGTTCACTGAGATGTTAGGTTTCTATGGTGTCTGAGTTTTCCACAGTCTGGACTAGATGACTAGGGGCTGAGAGTGACACTTCTGCCCAGTCTCAGCCACTCCCCAGTCTGGAAGGGTTCTGTTTTGTATGTTTAGATCAGTTAATGAGAGGCTGAAAGTTAGGGAACTTGTTCTGGTCATTGACTTCCTGTTTATTGACTGAATGACTTTGAGAAAATTACTTATTTTCTCTGGCGCTGTTACCTGTTTTTGTTGTTGTTGTTTGTTTTTTTAAACTAAACCAGTGGCTTTAACACATTTTAATTGAAGGGTTGATATGCTGTAGAGGGGATGCCTAACTGGCTCAGTAAAGCATGCAAATCTTGATCTTGGGATCATGAGTTTGAACCCCATGTGTGGAGTAGAGTTTACTTCAAATTAAAAACATATATGCGGGCGCCTGGGTGGCTCAGTCGTTAAGCGTCTGCCTTCGGATCAGGTCATGATCCCGGGGTCCTGGGATCAAGCCCCGCATCCGGCTCCTGCTCAGCGGGAAGCCTGCTTCTCCCTCTCCCACTTCCCCTGCTTGTGTTCCCTCTCTCGCCATCTCTTTCTGTCAAATAAATAAATAAAATCTTTAAAAAAATAAAAAATAAAAACATACATGCTGTAGAAAGATGTACAAGTCATAAATGAATAGCTCAATGAATGTTCACATATAGACACATGATCCATAGGTTTTTAACTTTTTTTTTTTTTTTAATGCAGCCTAGTAGGAACAATTAAAATGTGAAATAGAACTGTGTTTAAATGAAGGGTCTGGGGTGCAGGGCTTATCTTCCCCCACTAAGTCTCTGAGATGATCTTGAAGGGAATTTCTGGCTTTAGCTCAGTATGAATTTAAAGATTATTTATTTTAGAGAAAGAGCATGCACACAGGGGGTGGGGCAGAGGGAGAGAAGCAGACTCCCCATTGACCCCGCTGACCTGCTGAGCATGGAGCCCAACACAGGGCTCAGTCTCACGACCCTGAGATCACAACCTGAGCTGAAATCAAGAGTCAGACGCCTAACTGACTGAGCTACCCAGGCATCCCTAGCTCAGTAGGAATTTACATGTGATTGAAGAGAGACATGCTGAAGGGAGGGGCCTTCCAGTTTTAAGATAACAGAAAAGATGTTTATGCCTCCTTTTGTATATCACCCCCAAACAACTAGAAAAGCAGGAAACAGAAACACAAACTCCATATTTCTTTATCTTGGAGATTATACCAGCGCTCCTGAACCCTGTGGTACATGCAGATGGAAAATGGATGGAATAATAACTGACTTCAGACGGCGGAGGAAGTTGAACCAAAGAGCCTGCAGAGGGGATCATTGCAGAAGCAGTTTGCTTGGCACAACTTGGAAAGGGCTTAGAAATCGGAGGCATGAGGATCTTGGAAGTCAGAGATGAAGCATAGGTCTGACAGGAGGGGCTGATGCTTGAAATTCTGTATGAGGAACAATTAGTGCTAAGCCTTAGGCAAGAAAATTTCCCAGAACCAAAGGACATGATTCTATAGTTTGAAAAGATCTATTGAGTGCCCATATAATGAATTTTTTCTAAAAAGAGAGGGAAAAAAAAAGGAAACATAATATCACCATAAAATTGTAGAGTATTAGGGATAAAGAGAAGATTCTAGAAGCTTCCAGAACAACAAATCATAATCTGTTAAGGATTGGTAATCAGAAAGGCATCAGACTGCAGAATAGCAGCATTAGAATCAACAAGTCAGAGTAACAAACCCTCACAGTTCTGAACTGAAAATGATTTCCAACCTTGAATTCTGTACCCACACATATTGTCAAGTATGTAAAATAGTTTTAGACTTGCAAATTTTAGTCTCTCTCTTTTAAAATACTCCATGCACTGTTTCACAGAATACTTCTAGAGGAATTGCTTTAATGTCAAAAAATGAGGGAGGAGAGAGATGGTAGGAAGAACCAGAAAGAGGAAGCCCTGAGATCTAGGCAGGTAGAACAGCTGGTTCAGGAGAGAGATGATGAGAGTCCACAATATTCCCAGGGAACTCCCCTGACGAGAGCTGTGCAGCCGGCCTGGGGATTAAGCAGTCCAGATTTGGGGCAGGAGGAGGAAGGCACTCGAAGGGAGCCTGCCAAACAACAGAACACTAATTAGATAGGTTTGACTGAAGATCTTATTGAGAGGTTGTTGGAGGGCACAAATATTTAGAAAACAGTTACAAAGAAAATTAAGTGAATGAAAAAAGAAAGAGCTTAAGGTTCTTTTTTTTTATTTTTTATTTATTTATTTTTTAAATTAAGAATCTCTACGTGCAATATGGGGCTCGAACTCACAGCTCCAAGATCAAGAGTTGTGCTCTTCTAACTGAGCCAGCCAGGTGCCCTGAAAGAGCTTCAGTTTCTAAGTGCAGGATAAACAACTGTTGTATAAGAAGGGAAACAAGCATTGGCTACCTCTTGGCTCAGCTGCAAATTACGTTTACAGTCATAACTGAAAATGGTTTTAAAAAATTATGATACTGGTTGGATTGAAGAAGAGGGGAAAGGAGCAGAATAAGAGATCAGGCCTCATCTAGCATATAATTTGAAATAAGAACGTAAAGACTCTACAGCATAGTCACTGTAGTTAACGACACTGTATTGTATATTTGACAGTTGCTGAGTGAGTAGGTCTTAAAAGTGCTCTTCATCACAAAGAAAAAATTGTAACTGTGTGGTGGTGGAAGTTAATTAAACTTGTGGTAATCGTTTTGCAGTATATACATATTGTCAAACTACTATGTTGTACACCTAAAACTAATATAATGTTATATGTCAATTACATTTTAATGAAAAGCATAAAAGACGTGCTTTAGAAATAATCACTACCAAAAAAGTAAATACTAGACAACACAGCTAAGAGCACTTAAAATATTTAAAATGACTGGATTTAGGGATCAAGATTGGAGTAGGGGCAAGTCTGCTTCATTTTATCATAAACCTTGACATTTAGAGAAACAACTCAAAGAATACTTGTAAGAATTACTTGAATAAAGATTAAAGTGGGAAAAATAAGATAGGCTTGCTGACAACTGAAATTTTGAGGACCCACTTTTCTGGGATAATCTATCCAAAGTAAAGTTTCTCCCTTACAGTTTTTGATTAGTAGTCATTTGTAAGGCCACATTCAAATGGTAACATGTGACTTAAAAGTTTTCTGACTGGAAGGGCTTTCACTGAGTAGTCTTGGTTTTTCATTGATAAGGGTGTCTTACATTCTAATGCTGCAGGACTCCAGCCCTACCTTCCTTTGTCATGGTGCGAGCAATCCTAAATTCAGTCATAAAACTGAGGTTCCCTTATTTTTTTGGCTCAGTGATGCCCTAAATTCTACAGTGACAGGGTAGGGACTCCTTACTGATTTTCTGCACTCCCCTGCTCCCTTCTCTGCTCCAAACCACACAGATTTAGAACAGTATACAGGCATTGAAATGTTCTGCTTTGCCTTTGGTCTTCCCAAGAGGATAGCTCTACATTATGTGGTTCAGTTCATTTTGAGCCCTGCAGTTGTACCATGTACTATGTTAGGTGCCCAGCGCACAAAGATGAATAAGATCACAGTCCGTCTCATCAAAGAACTTGTAGTTTAGTAGAGGAGGTCGATTGGTAAATAGTTAAGTGGTGATTGAGTAATAAGTTTAACAATCAAAGTACGTATATACTAAATAAAGTGCATTTCTGCTTTCTGCCCATGGACACTGGAAAGTTGTGGTGATGTAAAATGACTCGTAATATAAAATCTGTAACTTGGTGTGTATGTCTTTTTCTTTTTCTTTTTAGCTGATAGACCAGTTAAAGCCTGGTGGGAGATTGATATTGCCAGTTGGTCCCGCAGGTGGAAACCAGATGTTGGAGCAGTACGACAAGCTACAGGATGGCAGTGTCAAGATGAAACCCCTGATGGGAGTGATATACGTGCCTTTAACAGATAAAGAGAAGCAGTGGTCCAGGTGGAAGTGATTTTATCTTCTGCTCTTTCTTCTTCCACACATGCAAGGTGAAGGGTGTGGATTCTAAGACATTAGACCACAAGAGCTGCTTTTTTTGGTTGTCACCTTTATGCTACTCCATTTTAACATCAGAAATTCACTACATTAAAAATCTAGAAAAATTTTGCATGAGTCTGCCCTTCTTTTGGTTTAACTCATATCTTTGGGAAAGGGGGGTGAGACTTGGTTGGCACAAAGGTGGTTTTGTTTTTTCTTCCTTTTTTTAAAAGAGGCTTTTAGCCACAGTTCAGAACTTTCTAAGGATACTTATTATCAGCCATTCTGTTTCTGTATTCACAAATCATTTTTGTAGCTGCTTTATGGTCATGGAAAGAAACACTTTGGTCCTAAGAAAAGGGGCCATCCTTTGCCCCGTTCACACCCTGTGTGTACCATTGTTACAAAGAGAAAGAAGGGAAAAGATAGTCTTGCCCCAGTTTTCAAAGGTGTCAGAATCCCAGAGAGGACATTTTTCCTCTCAGCTTGCTTTCTGTCTTTCAGTCAGGTTCACTGACATTCTAACAACCTGGGCCTGTTTTACATTCAGCTACTGTTTCAGAGCCACTATAAGGAATAAACTTCTCACCAGTCTATAGAACTGGCCAGCCCATGTTGAAGCCACCCTAAGTTCCTGGGGAGGGGAGTAGATTCTGTGAGCTCAAAGTGAATGCAGTGCCCAGGTCTCACAAACCCGCCCAAAGGGCCAACAGCATGCAGCATAATCCTCAGTACAGCATGGCTCATTATAATGCCTACTTGTGTTTTATGTCTCAGCATAATCCGAGTATTTTGTCTGAAGCCAAGGTTTCTCTTCTTCCTCTCTCCTTCTCCCTTTCCCTCCCCATGTCCTTCAGTGGGAAGGAGTGAGATCAAGCAGTAAGAATGACACTAGCTAAGACGACTTAAAATTAAATGTCAAAATAAGAAAGACTATACAAGTTTCCTTGTTTTAGAATCTTTTTTTATTTGACAGAGGTACTTACTTTAAGATGATTATTTTTTTAATAAGTAAAGTGGTGATTATAAGTTTAATAGACCTCTTAATTTTGTTTTTTTGGAAGGAGGAAAGATACCATTTGAATGAATGTTTAATTGCAAAAATGGTAATGAATCTCAGTTTTTCTTTTTATTCTGATTGTCCATTTCTGAGATATGTTATTAGGAATTGCTTTATTCTTCACTTAATGTGGACATAGCTATTTTCTTTGAATTCTAACCTGCAGCACAGCCACTTAAAAAAAAAATTTAAAAAGCTATGAGTCCTGTCAGTTAAAATCATATAGTTATTAACAACTAATTACAACCTTCCTTGACTTTGCTTCTAGTATGGTTCTGTTGTTATGTAATTGTATAGTTGCTGTTGTATAAAAGGGGCAAACATACACTGAACTTACCGAAATTTGGTATCAAGTAAGAGTTCAGATTTTCATTAGTAAGTTTAAAACTTTTCTTTTTATATACAATAAATATTAGTATTGAACATTCCACTGTAGTTTGATGATGAAGGAATTACAAAAAGGTATTTTGTTTTTATAACCAGAGGTGGATTTAGCATGAAGCAAACGAAACTTAAGCCTCAGGGCCTTCACATGCTTGGGGGCCTTCCTGGCCTTACACCTAATATTATATGCAGTCTTGTTTTTAGTCCTCTGTTTTTTCCCTTCATGAAGAGGTTCTCCCCCCTTACCAGGTCATTCAAGCTCTATGTTTCCACAACACCTATATTCACCCCTTGTAAAACAAAATTATTTGTATTAAATTTAGAATAATTTTTAAATTTATGGACAAGTCATTTACGAAATATTTAAATATATATACTTGTTTTTCTTTTTGGTTTTCAACTTTTTACAATTTTACACATACGTATCACTGGAAACTTTTCTCTAGTTGTACCAGGAGGACTTCCTAATTCTTCCTGTTGTCAATTTTCTGTTTGTTCAAACACATTTTCCTACATCCAAAGATGTAGTGGGTCTTTTTTGTTTTGTTTTGTTTTAAGTAAGCTCTATGCCCAGTGTGGGGCTTGGACTCATGACCCTGAGATCAAGAGTTGCATGCTCTACCAGCTGAGCCATCCAGGTGCCCCCAGAGATAGTTACTCAGATGTAAATCTTTAAAGAATATAGGTTTAAAGAATGTAAAGGTGAAACAAAATCTGAAAACAAAATTGGAAAAAACAATTGCCATATTAAATTGTTTTTGTACTGAAAGAAATTACTAGAAAATAGGATGTTTGAAAACAACAGTTAACTTAAAAATCTAAAGAGACCATTAATCTGCTATTTCTATTTGTATTCTTAGACTCTCAATCAGGGTCCAGAACAGAAAGTATGCTCAGCTAGGATTTTAAAGTGATTTTAGTGAAAGAACTCTTCAAAGAAATATGGGAATGGTTATGGAAATCCGGAAAAGACGTTGACATACCCAGGTACCAGTGTCCTACCATGATAGGCCATAAGGGGAGGAAACAGTTTTACTGGAACCCACTGAGAGCAGGGACTGTACTAGGGCCATGGATACGTAGCCGAGAATTTGAAACTGACCATTCTCATGGAACTTACAGTCACATGGGAGATCCAAAAAAATCTGAAGAAGACAAACAGGCAATTAGAGTATAGTGTGTTTAGGAGGGAGCAGTTGTGTTGAAGCCAGACAGTGAAGTAATCAGAATTACATTTCAGAAAGATGACTCTGGCTGTGGTGTAGAGAGTAGATTGGAAAGGGACAGAACGACAGAAACAGAATGTGGTTGTAGCAAGTTAGGGGTGAAATGGTGGTGGCCTGAGTTAAGGCAGTTGATAGAATGTGGTTGAAAAGAGTCATTTACCATTTTCTGAGTGCCCAGCCCACATTTGGGATTTATCATCTCAGAAGCTCCTAGTCAGTTCTATTGCCAGGTTAGGTGATCTTTGTTCTTTCAGATGTTCTTCAGGATTAATTTAACAGCTCATCTCCATGCTTTCTTCTGGACGTTCTCTAGCTTCTCACCAGCCTTCCATCCTTTTCTTCCTGAGGAGTCCAGAGCTAGTTGCAGTGCTCCGTGAGGGTGAGATCCAATCTTTGCTGAGGAGGTGTGGTAGAAACTATATGGGAAAAAAGAGCCCTCATGCACATGCTGAATTCTCATGCCAAATAAAGCCCAGAGCCTGGATGTAGACTTACGTTTCCTTATACTTGGAAAAATATCACTTCTAATTTTGGTGGAGTAATAAAAGGGGATACAATGCCAGATGTATGAGCCATAGACCTAGAACCTGTGGTATTATGTTCATGACTATGAATGTGTAGTAGTTGTATTAGTTGCTTCATAAACTCTTTATACTTTTTAAATTTGTATTTTATTTGACGTAAGTATCATATGTAGAAATCAGTATTTTGTTAATCATCTGGTAAGTTTTAGTTTTGTTTTTAATGATCACAAGAGTCAATGGAATAAGCCCATCTCTGGTTTGTGAAACTGAAGAATGTTTCAGGATTCTCATTCTGTAAGCGCTTTGCTCACCAGTGTCATCTCAAAGTGCCATGCACACATGACAAACATGTTATGAATTGGTTGGGCATTTCTAGTATAGGTCCTAGGGTATCCAGTTATCCTGTGTTCATATTGTTCTATATTGTCCCTTTTTAATTTCTTTACATACGTCACAGCATTATGACATATTTTGCATTCTTAAAGGCAGGGGTATATTTTGTTGATTTTGGAATTATTTTTATGTCTCTCATAATGCTTTGTATAATTTATTATCTCAGAAAACCCATTAAGTAGAAACCATTAATGGATTTTGATTGTTGTTTCTTGGTAATACATCTTTTCATTTGTTCTTGATAAAAAATATATAATGTTAGTAGGTTAGAGTTATTAACCTCATAAATAAGTTATATATAATTATACATTATATAATGAAATAATATATATATAGTTATTAACGTAATGAATGTTTAGCACATATATAATAAAGAGACTTTCTAGAAATTTAGGACATAATACTTTTTATTGTAAGTTATCTACACATGTAAGTCAGATAAAGATAGTTATGTAGAATTTGGAACATTAAGTGGAAAAATAACTTGAAAGTTACATTGATTTTGGCGTATTAGGATGTGACATTTATACATGCTCTGACAGCAAATTTTTGGTTTTCTTTGGCATCCTCAATGTTAAAATTCAGATCTAGAGACTTAATTTCTTTTCCTTTTTTTTAGTGCTATACATTTCCTTTTGTTTTTAATAATACTATTTGACTACCAAAATAATACATATGTAATGTAAAAATTTTTAGAAGTACAAAGGATGAAATAAAAATCATCCACAGTCCCAGAACCTACAGATAACCACTATTTACATTTTGGTAGATTTTTTTTTTTTTCACTCTTATCCATAGTTCTGTATACATCTTTTTGTAATCCTGAGATCATATAGTAGCATTATCTTGTAATCTCCTTTTTCCATTTAATAATGTCATCAACATTGTCCCACATTGTTAGCTTTTTAAAAATAAGATTTTCCCCCAGTTTTAGTGAGATATAATTGACATAGCATTATATTACTTTTATGTGTACAGCATAGTGATCTGATACATGTATATACAACAAGATGATTACCACATTAAATTTCATTTTATGGTTTGAGGTCTTACATTCAAGTCTTTAATCCATTTTGAGTAGATTATTTGTGTGTGGTGTAAGATGGTGGTCCAGTTTCATTCTTTTCCATGTGGCTGTCTAGTTTTCCCAGCACCATTTACTGAAGACATTACCTTTTCCCCACTGTATGTTCTTGGCTCCTTAATTAAATGACCATATATGTGTGGGTTTATTTCTGGGCTCTCTATTCTGTGTCATTGACCCATGTGTCTCTTTTTATGGTACTACCATACTATTTTGATTATTATAGCTTTGTAATATAGTTTGAAATCAGGAAGTGTGATACCTCCAGCTTTGTTCTTTCTAAAGATTGCTTTGGATATTTGGGTCCTTTTATGGTTCTATACAAATTTAAGGGTTGTTCTGTTTCTGTGAAAAATGCTGTTGGGATTTTGATATGGATTACATTGAATCAGTACATTGCTTTGGGTAGTATGGATATTTTAACAGTATTCATTCTTCCAATCCATGAGCATTGTGTCTTCTTCAATGTCTTTCATTAATGTCTTATACTTTTCAGTGTACAGATCTTTCACCTTGTTTAAATTTGTTTTAGGTATTGTATTCTTTTTTGATGCAATTATAAATGGGATTGTTTTCTTAATTTCTCTGATAGTTCATTATTGGTGTATAGAAACACAACTGATTTCTGTATACTGATTTTGTTTCCTGAAACTTTATTGAATTAGTTTATTAGTTTTGACATTTTTTTGGTGGTTTTTAGGGTTTTCTATATATGATATGTTGTCTGCAAAAAGAGACAGTTTTATTTCTTTCTTTCCGATTTTGATGCCTTTTATTTCTTTTTCTTGCCTAATTGCTCTGGCTAGGATTTCCAGTGCTATGTTGAATAAAAGTGGCGAGAGTGGGCATCCTTGTCTTGTTCCTGATCTTAGAGGAAAAGCTTTCAGCTTTTCACCACTGAGTATGATGTTAGCTGTGGGCTTGTCATATATGGCCTTTATTATGTTGAGGTACGTTTCCTCTATACCCAGTTTATTGAGAGTTTTTATCCTTTTTAAAAAAATTTTTTAATTGAAGAGGATATTTGGAAATGTTTGTACTGTGTTGTTGGGCAATAAGGATATTTATAATATCCTTAATGCTTTGCAACAGGCAAGTCAAATATGGTAAATTATTTTACAAAAACAGTAGTATCTTCAATTCACATTTTAAAAAGCACAAGTGAATTTATGAATAGAGCACTTTGCAAGTGAACTCTTTGTAGATTAAATATTTTAATGCTTACATGAATTTAAGTGAAATCTATTCTATGAGAATTATAGTGCTTAAATTATTTAGAAGAATATATTAAGAGGAACCAGAACTGATAATTTGTCATTTAACAGATAATCCAGTACTCTATGACAATGGCAGCTTATGGGAGAAGTAATCTTTAAAATAATTTCTCACACGATTTACAAAATTCAGTTTTAAAAAGAAGCATATTATCTGATAGTCCCTTAATTCACCACATACCTGGGAAACTTCAGCTCTTTACTTACTTGCCCTCCAAATTTATTTTAACTTTTAAAAAACTTTTTAATTTTTATCACACATTGTAAGAATAGTATGAAGACTTCCTGAATCTCTTCATCCAGAGTTACCAATTGTTAACGTTTTTCCACATCCGCTTTCTCGCTCCCTCTCTCTCTCTCTATATATACACAGGTCATATTTTTTCTTGAAATCATTTGAGATTTAGTTGCAAACATCATACTTCTTCATCCCTAAAATTCTTGAGTGTTGAACAATGTTTTTGTCACTCAGATTATCCTCAAATATGAAGCTTTTTGGGTAGCTTTATTTTTTCACTTTTAACAGCTTTCTTGAGGTATAATTTATACGCCACACAGTTTGCTTTAGGCTGCATTCTTCTTCCTTCCTTCCTTCCTTCCCTGCTGACAGAGGCTGGTACAATGCTGCACCCGGCTGAGCGAGTATCCTTTGGAGCTGAGAAGCTGCCTTCTGAAATCAGCTGACAGATACACCTACACAGGATGCTTTTTCTCCCAGAGTTTGGGTTGAGACTGACCCACTCAGCATTTGCTAGCAGATAGTCTAAGCAAAAGGCCACATTTTTGTCCAGTTTTGTCAATGTAACTGTAAAAAATTATTCCAACTCGAAATACCCATCGCCATTTTATGATAGTGTTAGCAAGATCCAAGATCTAAAAGTTAAAATTTCTCTGAATTTTTGGTCTTGAAGGAAGAAAGGCACCTTTAGAATGAAAAATAAGGAATCCAGGGCCTTCAGGTCTCATATTTCATTCTGCAGTAGCACGAGAGATGTTTGGATGGCTGACTTCCATTTTTGCTTTGACTTGGGGCTGTTTGCTTTTTTTTTTCTTTTTCCTTTTTATTGCTTGGGGATGGGTGTATTTTTACTTATTTACTAATTGTATCTAAATTATTAGCCAAGTTTTGTAGTATGTAACGCCTACTTACGTATTTCTCTTTTTTACCCCCAGGGATGAACTGTAAAAGCACCATCAGCTTGACCCGTATATAATATTGCAGTGGATTGCTCATCTCAGTCCTCAAAGCTTTTTGAAAACCAACAGCATCACAGCTTGTTTTGGACTTTGTTACACTATTATTTTCAGCATGAAAATGTGTGGTTTTGTAGGGTTTCTAGTTCTTCAAAGAGGCACAGAAGCTGAATTGATGAAAGAACGATGCAAAGTATAAATTTGTGTATTATTCCTTTAACACACCCACATTTTACTTTAAAATATTAAAAGACGGGGTTCCACAAAATGGAAGACTTAGTTTGTGAATTGATTTCGAGGAGTGGTTTTTCCTAGACACTTAATTCTGTTTCAATATTAATTTATCAGATTGCTCTTGTGCATCAGATAACGCCATTCATAAGTTAAGATTCTTGGTTTTTGGATGTCTGTTAGATGCCACTAAGAAAATAGAGATGAGCTTCCTTTTTAAAGCTTTTGATGTGGTGTCCTAGAGTAGCATGTTGTAGGTACAATCAGCTGCTTTGTTACCTTAAAACTAAGCATTTGTAAATATTAAAACTTCAGAAGATGGCAGGTGATGTCCTTCACAACACTTAGCTGTTCAGATTGGGCATAACTGATATAGTTCTTCCTTTCCCTCTTTAAAATTATAGGAGACTTGTAGCTCAGTATTGTTTTTTCTGTTTCTAATTTGCTGCTGATAATGTATATGAATTTACCGTGCTGTGTAAGCTGGGTCCTAGTCACTGAACAGTTTATGCAGTGCTGCTTTGCCAAATAAAGTTAAAAGTAAAAGAGGCATTGGTGGTGTTTGAATACAAAAGAAAGAACCACATGTCCACCAGATACGGAATGCTGACTGAGATCACAGAGATAGAATTGTGTCTCTGATGCTCTGTTTTATGAAATCTGAGTAGCATAGATGGATAGCATTAATCCAGCTGTGCATTTGGAGAATATGACGACGTTTCCGGCCCACGAGGACTACACTACATTTGTAGAATATGACTACGCAAGGGCTACATCATTTTTCTCTGCCTAACATGGGGCTTGCCCTCTTGTACAGGAACAGTAAATGCTGAATGAGTGAGTGAACGAGTTGACTTCGTGTCAGGGAAGAACAGGGTCAAGGATACATGTACCAAAACACATTTCTCATCTATAAATAGAGTTATTAATATAATGACTGGAAAATGAGTTTCTATGAGGGCAGTAGCACTTTGGGATCTTGTTTAAATACTGTGGTCTTAAGCCTTTTATAAAAGGATCTTAGTTTTTCTAGGAGTTCTAGAACTTGAGAAAAATGTAAACTAGATCCAGCAGAACTAGTACTCCCAGCAAAGCAACCCCCTCCTGTGTGCAAATGTGTAGGATTCTGCCAAGTTGATCCTTGGAGTGTGAGGCACCTCTTCCCCACCTCTTAAAGTCTTAAGTTTTATTTGTTTAAAAACGGGTTTTTTTAAAAAAAATTACACACACATCTTTTCACTGGTGTCTTCTTGGGCAAGATCTCAGACATGAGAAACTAGCATCCGTTGGCACCTAAAACTTGTGTTTCAGTTCCTTGCTGGCTTCAGTCTGCTTTTGTTGGTACTGCTTCTGGACCCAGGCCATGGACCCTTTTGGGGCAGGACTCAGTATCATTTGAGGTAGTTTCAAAGGTTTTCTTTAGGTCTTAAAACTGAATTGATTCTTAAACTTATCCACTAGTCTGTATCCTTCATAGCCATTGCCAACATTTTATTATATGTAAATCCCTTATGTTAGGTCTTGGGGCTAGAAAAAAGCGCTTAACTCTCAAGGAGTTTACAATCTGGCCGAGGGGACAGTTTATAAATACAGTAGGACCAAGTGCCACCTCATTGGTATAGACAAATGCCATGTCACGCATTACTTTTGGATTTTACACTTTTGTGAATTAAAATTTTTAAATGTTGAATAAACAGGAGTGAATTTTAAGGGAGCATCAGTTAAGTGGCAGAGATAGAGCAATATTGGATTTTAACTAGGTCTAAGAGCTTTCGTTTTAAGAGCTAAATTTACATATGTGCTGGTCAGAGATAAGAAATGTCTCTTTTATCTTTAGGATTCACAATCTCTAAAATATTTTAGCATTCCATTTTTTCTTAATAGAAGTGATTCCTTCATACAGTATAAAGAAGACAATGAAAATATTTTTAAAAGTTCCAGTCTTGTGAGATCCTATTGAAACAAGGTGTTTTTACAGATTTGACTTTATTAAAGGACAGATCTAGCTCCTAGTTAAGAATTAAAATTAAGGGTGCCTGGGTGGCTCAGTTGGTGAAGCGACTGCCTTCGGCTCAGGTCATGATCCTGGAGTCCCGGGATCGAGTCCCACATAGGGCTCCCTGCTCAGCAGGGAGTCTGCTTCTCCCTCTGACCCTCTTCCCTCTCGTGCTCTCTATCTCTCATTCTCTCTCTAAAATAAATAAATAAAATCTTTAAAAAAAATTAAAATTAAGAATTCCAGTTTCTATTTTTTTAATTCTGTCAGATAATATATTTTTTTAAGATTTTATTTATTTTATTTCAGAGAGAGAGAGTGAGAGAGAGAGAGCATGAGAGGGGGGGAGTGGGAGAGGGAGAAGCAAACTCCCCACTGAGCAGGGAGCCCGATGTGGGGCTTGATCCTAGGACCCTAGGATCATGACCTGAGCCAAAGGCAGATGCTTAACAACTGAGCCACCCAGGCGTCCCAAGAATTCCAGTTTCTAATGAGGGTTTCAACTCTTTCCCAATCAGTAACATTAGGGGAAAAAATGACATTTTAGGAAAATAATACATTGTGCAAATATTTAAAATCCCATTGCCCTAATTTTTAAAAACTGCCATTGCTAAAAAAAAAAAGTCAATTACACTTTTTAAGTTGACTATAATGTGTCTATCCTAAAGCATCTTAAAAAATCAATGTATTTATTTTAAAATAGAATAACAAATAATGTAACGCTCATGAATTTTTTGAAACCATTCTTAGCATCAGATTGTCAGCCGAGAAATAGAGCTTCTCACTCATTAGAGAAGGAGGTGTTTCTAGTTTTCAGCTAAATGTTAACAAATTTTCCAGTAGTTTGGTATGGCACGAAAAGAGCTCATATGACAATGGTAATTGAATACTAATGTTGTAAATGAAATATCAAACATCGGTAATTTTTTAAATGTTCTAAATGGGGTTCAAAAGGCCAATAACTTCGGTAAGTGCTAAAAGTCTTTGAGGGTATAAATCATCACTTCCTACAAATTTTACTGAGTTATTTAAAGCACTAGCAAACCAAAGTGTTCTGATCAGATTTCAGTTTCATGTCTCTTGATTTCTCCTACCATTTTTCAGGAAGATGACTGTGTTTTGTCCCCATTATACTTAAAAGGGTGGCTCAAATAGATGGCCGGTAAGAAAATCCTGCGTGAAGAAAACTGGCTGGCCCACGTGGCCTGCAGAAATTTGCGTCTGTGTCCTGTAATATCATAAAAATGAAACAAGTCCAACAGTTTCCTTATCTTTAATCCTTCTACCAGTGCTGTAATAGTAGGTGTTACTTCCCCTCCTCAGACTTCACTTTTATATCTAACTGTGATGTCTGAGCCAGGACTCTATGAAGCGTTCCCTTGCTTGGTGGAAGAGAAAACATCTTTTAGTTCCCATAGATGCTACCCGCAGCCGGGAATCCCTCACTTCCTCTCTCTGTCTTTTCCTTTCCCCTCCCTTCCTTTCCTGACATGTTGTCCAGAGGGCTGCTGGAGCTGAAGAACTCATTCTTACTCAGTGGGAGTGTCCTAATAGGATGGGCATCAAAGAAGAATACTTTTTGTCCCAAGGGCAGGTGATCGCAACACTGAAGACATTTTAAATATGAAAGGGCAGCAACCCAGGGGCCTGGGGCAGCTGAGGACATTTATATTTGAATTTCCACTCCCCAAACAAATCACTGTGCCCCACTCCATAGGATCACATCACAAGGAGTCTTTTTTTTTTTTTTTTTTTTTACCAGCCCTATTTATTTAGGTTTTTGGTGATAATCCTGTCAAGATTTAGCTTAGAAATTACACTGTAGATGAAAGAGCCTGTAGATGAAAGATGAAAGTAGCATTTCCATGTTAACATGACTGTGTCAGTTGTAAATAATTTATAAAAAAAAGATATTTTCTGGGGAAAAATACCTGCCTTCTTTAGGATCTTAGCTCCTTTATGCGATTAGCTTGTAGGGAACAGAGTTGGATCAAGCAGGCTGGAAGTTACAAGTGGGGGTTGTCAAGGAGTGTCAGACCATCGCCCCTCAACAGCAAACAACATTGAAGGCATGATCTCAGATTGCACAGTTCATTGTTCTGATTTCTTCGTTCTTCTACACACATATCTCTAAATTACACATTTAGAGATATTTCTAAATCTTTTCATCTGTGAAACTGCTTTGTATTAAATATGAGAACATAGCTTTTTGATTTATTTGGAATTTTGGGTCTTCAGTCATATGAAATGATGAATGAAAATAAACTTTTTTGGGGGGGCGCCTGGGTGGCTCAGTCGTTAAGCGTCTGCCTTTGGCTCAGGTCATGGTCCTGGGGTCCTGGGATCGAGCCCCACATCGGGCTCCCTGCTCCACGGGAAGCCTGCTTCTCCCTCTCCCACTCCCCCTGCTTGTGTTCCCTCTCTCGCTGTGTCTCTCTCTGTCAAATAAATAAATAAAATCTTTAAAAAAAAAAAATTGAAAATAAACTTTTTTTTTTTAAGTCCATATACTCAATACAATTTCCCCTAGCTTTTCGGTAAAAGTTAAAATAATTTTAAAATGTGTTTTGAGGGGTGCCTAGCTGGCTCAGTCAGAAAAGCATGCAACTCTTGGTCTCGGGGTTGTGAGTTTGAGCCCCACGTTGGGTGTTGAGATTACTTAAGTAAATAAAACCTAAAAAAATTTAAAAGTGTGTTTTGAGAAGTTTCCTAAGTTTTGAAATGACTGTATAAAAATATCCTTAAGCTGAATGATACTGTATGTTGATCTCTTTCCAATTTACAGTGTGGTAACTCACAAGACTCAGAACTGAGGTGATGGGGGAATTAAAATGAGTAGGAATGAAGACACACTGAGAGAGACCTACGTGAAGCAAAGGGAGAAAGCTCGGTTCTAACCAGCTCATCTCTGGACACATTCAGCTTTTTTTTTTTAATATTTTATTTATTTATTTGATAGAGACACAGCGAGAGAGGGAACACAAGCAGGGGGAGTGGGAGAGGCAGAGGCAAGCTTCCTGCAGAGCAGGGACGGGACTCGATCCAGGACCCCGGGATCATGACCTCAGCCAAAGGCAGACGCTTAACGCTTAACGACTGAACCACCCAGGGGCCCCTGGACACATTCAGCTTCTAACCTTATTTTCATCCTTGGTGATTTTATATTTAACCAAAAAAACCCAAAAAAACAAAAAACTGCTATCCAAGTAGCCATGAAATAGGTACTTTATTTTGGATTCTAGAATTGAGCAAGACCAGAGAGCTGAGAAAAATGGGGCCAGTCCCCAAGAAAAAGCAACACAATTGCTTAAAAAGCCAGGGAGATGAGAACACTTGTGAACAGCAAACTGCAAGCTAGGCTTTTCCCTCTTTCTATATGATGTGGGCAGTGTTTTTCATTAGAAATTGTCATTCAGTTTCAGTGCCAACAGCTGCAGAAAACCTGGAGTCCAGAAAAGAAAAGAAGTAATTGTAGTCACTCTGATAAGAACAAAGTGGTGCAATCCCCAAACATGAAATCGGGGACAATATAACTTAACAGAGACCCCAAATGCCAATCTCAGGCTGGGATGCTTCTGTTACATGGCATCATTGCTGTGATGTAGACAGAAGGTGGGCGACAGAGCCCGACGCCTGGGCTCCCGGGCACACCACACCGCGGTGTGTTTCTGTCTGTGACGTCCAGGGAAGTCATAGCAAAGTCTGCCTTGAACCCCCAAACTGAAGAATAGAAATATACATCTCCGCATTTGGGTTGCGGGAAAATCTAGAACAACATGCAACAGCCGTCAGAGGCTGAGGAGGGTTGGTAAGTGTGAAGGTGAATGGTGTGGCCAAGTCACAGATGATGAAAAGGCAGCAGGAGAAAGGTGAAGACATTCTGTCGTCTTCCCGTGGAAGAGAACAAATTTGATCCTCGAGCAACTGGAGACATTCAAATGCTTGGGGAGGGATGGAGACTAGCTGTTGTCTACTTGTATTGAGAATTAGAGCAAAGAAGCTGTATGTTTTCTTTAAGATTTTATTTATTTATTTGAGAGAGAGTGAGAGCATGAGATGGGGGAGGGCCAGAGGGAGAAGCAGAACCCCCGCCGAGCAGGGAGCCCGATGCGGGACTCGATTCCTGGGACCCTGGGATCATGACCTGAGCCGAAGACAGACACTTCACCGACTGAGCCAGCCGGGTGCCCAGCTGTACATTTTCTGAAAGGTGGCGTTACGTGGGCCTTTACGCTCTCAGGAAAAGACACGTGAGACATAAGAACATGTTTAAGCAGTAAGTTGTGGACAATCTTCCCTTTAAAATTATTTTTAAATTATCTTAGATGCAGAACTCCTCCAATCAGATACTCACAGGTAAGGTAACTTTAAATTTAAAGTCCCACTCAGTCCACCTGACAATATAACTATTTTGTAGGCCTTGATTCTCCTTCTTTAATTCTTAATTTCCCCCTTTGCAAGATAAGGTTGATATGATTAAATCCAGGTGATATAGTAACAGCTCAGTAAATAATAGCAACTCATGATGATGATTTGATTAAAAGGTTATTTTAAAAAGGCATAAGAATAAAATAAAATTTATTAAAGGGATATTGTACACATGGATATGGAGATATTTTCTCAAGTATTTCAACAGAATAGCAATGCTAAACTGTGTTTAATTTCCTCATGTATAAAAAGATGTGCCGAAAGATGCATGCCTCATCAGTTTTAATTTTATTGGGTATGGCCATATGTGACACCCTTCTCTAGAAAAGCAAACTGCAAAGCGTCACACAGAGCGTACAGATATCTTAAGTCACTCACGCAGTCGTTTCTCCAGTCTCCTCTTGAGGAGAACTTTAAGCCTTTGCTCAATTCTAAACATTCAACAAAATGCTTGGACCTCTTGGGAAATAAAAGTACAAATTTCTTTGTTTTTCTAGAACTAACTTTCCGTTTATTAATGTAGTCTGTTATATTTCTGACCCAGATTAAGCGCTTTGCTAAAGGGACAATTTACCTCAGTCTGAAAATAAAGGATTCTACAGTGTTTTCAAGTATTTTAGAAGATTTGCCAGTTCTGATAAAAAGCCATTATTATAGAAAAAGTAACATCATGTGAGTGTAGACAGGCACCACATGGTAGATTCCTCTCAGGAGAATGATTTCTCAGGTGTGTGTAATCCTGGCATGAAGTGAGGATGGGAATAATTTGCCTTTAAATTCCTATGGATTGATTAAAAGGGAAAAGATGCTAAACTAGATGCCAGTTTTCTGTAAAGATGAATTTGTGCAAGACTGCTTTATGCTCTGGGAATACGTGAGCCTGGCATTGGCCGACTGCACATTATAACATTTTACAGCACTAAACAAATGATGGGAGAAAACTGTCCTATTCCATTGGATGAAAGAACCTGCTGATACTTAAACATGGGACCTTTTTACAAAAGCTGCACCCAGAAATCTACTCAGTGTTCTGCTTTTCAATTTGAATGCATTTTTCTCTTCCATCAACACAGATTCCTGTTGAAAACCAGTGACTATATAAATAAAGCTGCTGTGTTCTGGACCATCTAGCAGTGTCGAGTAGATTCGAGAAAGTACTAATGGTCGTCCTGGCACGTTGCCCTCAGCTAAATTTGTGTTCCAACGTTTGACTTCCACCTCTGCCGTCACCATGATTCCCTACCCCGCTCCAGGACCATGTCACAGCTAGCTGTAATACAAAGTCAGGGTGTTTTCTCCCAAAGGCAAGCCTGAGGGGGCAGCCACCCAAGGGACCTGAGGTCAGAGGCACTGGGATAAACTCACACTCACCTGCCCTGACACCTCCTCGATGTGCTCATGAGGGTTATACTTTAGACATTCCTGCCAGAGGGAGCATCTCATTGAAGGTCTAAACTCACTTGAGATCCATTCTCAGAAATAGGTTTCGAAGGGGAGAAGAGAAAGGAGAGCACTAGAACAAGAAGGCCTCTGAACAAGGGAGCGGAAAGTGGTCCAGGGCTGCCGGGGGCCAATGGTTGGCTTCTTAAAGGTAAAGGGTTAACGTTGCCATTCGAAGGCCACCCCTCGAGAGCCCGAATTTTCTGCCTTGGCTCACTGCAAATTGCTATTTTTCAGGGACAGCTTACCTAAGTCAGAATTAGATTTGTGTCTTTACTCATATAGACTCCTCTCTAAATTTCAAAACATTTCACATACTCCCCAAAGAAACTCTTGCTACAATAAATAAAAACAAATGTTTGGGGTTTACAGAATATTCTGGGGTTTCAGTATTTTTCTTAGCCCAGTTCAAACCAAAGAGGTTATAAATATCCAGAACCAATCAGTGGATAAATTATAAGGAAAACATCGTCGCCCCCAGCTATTTAAGTGACACTTATCACAGATACATCCCATTTATGAGGTAGTCGGATTCCTCAGACGTAATGGGACGAGCTTTCTTCAGTTTCTGTTTCACCAGGCGTAGGCGGCACGCCACCATGAGAAGCAGCAGCGCCGTGATGGCCAAGCCCAGGGCCAGGGGTAGAACCGCACCTGTGAAGCGGTTAGAAATGAACAGGGCAGGTCAGTGAGCAGCCACGATAGAGCCACAGTTTACTCTACGGTGAGCACTTTGCAGGCACTGTTCTAGTTCATCTGAACAACTCCATTACGTACGTACTTGTACTATCGCCATTTTACAGATTAAGGTGCGGAGATGAAGTCATGGGTCTGAGAGCACCTGGTTTGTAAATGGCAGGTGTAGTTCTCAAACCCAGGCTTCTTTCAAACCAGATTCTGTACCAGGTTCCTACAACATGTGGGTAGCATCAGTGGGCACCAAGGTTGTAGCTGGATCCCCCTCAGCCCCCCCGTAACAGACTCTGAATGCACAGCGGTGAAGACATGGCGGCCACAGGAGCGTTTTCATCATAGTCACAGATGATATTTGTGGATCCATCCATGATCATTCTCTCAGAATAAGTATGGACTGATTCCTGACTTCTTGTAGGGTTTTAAGAAATTTATTTTCTTTTCTAAATCCAGAGAACCTACCCTCAGCCAGTAAGATCCACTGTTGAGAGCCAACTGCAAACTGTGCTGGTGTAATTCTGGCGAAGGGTACTTGAAGAAAAAAATCTCTCTCATTCTCCTTCAAAGGGTCTCTCCTGGGGGTTGCGTCTTAGACACCCAGACGAGAAGCGAGAAGCAGCCTTTCAAGGCCAGCAGAAGTCTGGAAGGGACAGGGTGTGCCCCGGGTGAGTCTTCCTTATCAAGCTCAGCAGGCTCTATTCTTAGTCTGATCTACTCTGGAGTCAGACCAGGCTTGGAGACGATATGGCGGAGCTACTTTTAGCCGCAGGGGTCTTGCCAACTCGTGGAATTAGAGGGATAAAAATGCCCATCGCATAAGCTGATCCTATAACCTTTCATCTCGTTCCTTTCTTCACTCATGCAGGTTTCAGTCAGAGCTATGTGCCTGACACTGAGCTCAGTGCTGGTGACCAAAGATGATAAGCCCATGCTACAGAGTCCCGGCACTGTTTTAAGTGCCTTTTTTTTTTTTTTTTTTTAAAGAATGATATATTTTTTAAAGATTTATTTATTTATTTTAGACAGATTGAGAGAGAGAGAGAGAGAGTCTTAAGCAGACTCCAACACAGGGCTTGATCCCACGACCCTGAAATCATGACCTGAGCTGAAACCAAGTGTTGGACGCCTAACCGACTGAGCCACCCAGGCGCCCGCACTCTTCTAAGCGCTTTATGGTATAAATCATTTAATTCTCAGAACCACCATTTGAGTTGGTACTATTATTATACCTATTTTGCAAATGAAGGAACTAAGATATCAAGAATGAAGTGACTTGTCTGAGCTTGTAAGATCAATGGTGCAACGAGGACAGGGTCCCAGGCAGGGCAGCTCCAGATCCACCACCGTACAGAACTTCTTCAAAAGGGAAATGAGATCATGATTTTATTGACTTCAGGTCTGGGTAGACAAATATTTAAGTGAAAAAACACCATTAAGTACTATAATTACTGTGACAGAATTAGATCAGAAGTGCTGATGTAAAAGGAGTGGTTTGTGTATCCGGTTCATAGGATTTTTGCTCCAGTGGTTTAAATGTATGATGGAGCTCCTTTGGGGTGGGTGGGGGAGATAAATGTATTTTCTGACATTTTTGGATTGAAATGCCTATACATGATTCAGGTAGAATTTTCTTTAGGTTTCTGGAATTTTTTTTAAAGATTTATTTATTTGAGAGAGAGAGGGCGAGAGAGAGCACGTGCCCATGGCAGGGTGGGCAGAGGGAGAGAGAGAGAGAGGGAATCTTAAGCAGACTCGCTGCCGAGTACAGAGCAGATCTCATGACCCTGAGATCATGACCCGAGCCGACATCAAGAGTCAGATGCTTAACTGACTGAGCCACCCACGCGCCCCATAGGTTTCGGGATTATTTGGGCCTAAATATGTGAGAGTCCTTAGCGTCGAGGTCCTGGTTGCAGCCACAAAGGGGATGAGATTGCCAGAGAGAAACGGAGGAGGACAGAAAGAGATGGATCAGAGAAGTGGCAGCGCAGCCAATGGAGAGGGGAGCCTCGGAAGCACAGGGAAAAGACTTTCAAGGAAGCACTTGGCTAACCAAATGCTAAGAAGAGGTCAAGTGTGGTGAAGCCCGGAGAGGCCAATGGACTTAGCAATCAGAAATTCTTTTCAGGGAGACTGAAGATTGAGGGATGCTATTTTGTTTTTATGTGTTGGGAGAGATCTGAAAGTGTCTGCAGCTGTTGGGGGAACGAGCCAGTAGAGAAACAGATAAAAAAATACAGGAGAGTTGGGGCGCCTGGGTGGCTCAGTCATTAAGCGTCTGCCTTCAGCTCAGGTCATGATCCCAGGTTCCTGGGATCCAGCCCCGCATCAGGCTCCCTGCTCGGCGGGAAGCCTGCTTCTCCCTCTCCCACTCCCCCTGCTTGTGTTCCTTCTCTCGCTGTGTCTCTCTCTGTCAAATAAATAAACAAAATCTTAAAAAAAACAAAACAAAACACAGGAGAGTTAATTAATGATGGAGAAACGTACCTGAGAAGATTAGAGCTTGTATCAAGGTCAGGGGGAGACTGACCTTGGAAAGAAGGGACACTTCTTCCTTTAGTACTGAAGGAAAGGAAGCGGGGTGGGTGCAAACGGACGAGTGTTCACGTTTGGGGATGAGTAGCTGAGGACGATCACTCTGCTTGTTCAGGGCAGGGAAAGGACTAGAGGCTGCCCTTCTAAATGTGTGTGATTTTGCATAAGGATGAGCACCGGTGCTTAGGCCTCAGGGAACGGGGCTGTGCTTGAAGATCCCAATCCCAGGTCTGGGGTGCAGATGCAGCTATGGGTAACAACAGAGCAGACATATAATCTCGGGGAACTTTCTGTTTCCCAAGTCAGAGATGAGCTGGCTAAACTGTCAAATTGATTTCTGTTTAATGCTTTGAATACAAGGAAAATGAAATCTCCCATACAGAACTTGCTACAATACTGCAAATTATTCTAGACTTTTCAATACTCATTTGGCATGGTTTCTTCATTGTCTTTAGTTTGGGTATTTGGAGATTTAAAATTTTCTAAACCCTTGTAAAACACATCATGATATAATTTTCTCAGGAACCAGCTAAGGAGATGAATTGGGTATTCTGCTCGTATGAGTGGGAGTGACGTTCATAATACATGACAATTGGAATGGGCAATGAGCAGTTAGAACGGAGACTCTCTGCATATAACCAGGCATGGGAGCCGGGCAGGCCTGGTTTCCCTTTACGTGTCCATGGGCGACAGGGCCCTTTTTATTCAAATATCTGGGGCCGGGGTAAGTTCAGCAGGCCTGCAGACTGAGCAACATCTAGGTACTTGAGGTCTGGATTATTCTGGCCATCTGTTGGTTAACGGTTATACTTTAATGTTGTCCAGATTTTACAAAGAACACTCTAGGGTAAAAAGAAAGCCTTCTCCACATTCAGATCTATAATTTAAGAATCATCTTTTGTTCTCCTAAATCTTCTTTTACTAATTAGTTCGTGGGATTTAGGACTAAAACCTACTTTTCTACAGAACTATGTCGAATGTGTTTTCTTTCTTGTTAAAAACCACAAAAATCATGGAATTATGGTATTCTTCTTGTACTCACTAAATATTCCCTCAACCTCCAACACTCTTTCCTCATTCCTTTTGTCTTGGGTCTTTATTGCACAAGCATGCTAGAGAGATTAGGTACTCTAAGATCTTTACTCTTGTAGTATAACTAACTCAAACATAATAGCCACCATTTATCTGGCTCATTGTATGAGCCATGCAGTGTGCTAAATGGTTTAACTGTCCCATTCACCCTCCCTAACAACTCTGAGGCAGTGAGAGTTGTTATCTCCATCCTACTAATGAGGAGACTGGGATCCAGAGAGAGAAAGTCGCCCACCCCAGGTCATAGAGTTTAGTGGTGGAGCAAGGGTCTGAACCTTGGCATCAGATTCTAGAGCTCGAGTTCTTTTTTTTTTTTCTAATATTTTATTTATTTATTTGTCAGAGAGAGAGAGAGAGCACAAGCAGGGGGAGCGGCAGGCAGAAAGAGATGGAGAAGCAGGCTTCCCGCCGAGCATTGAGCCTGATGAGGGGCTCCATCCCAGGACCCTGGGATCGTGACCTGAACTGAAGGCAGACGCTCATGGACTGGGCCACCCAGGTGCCCCTAGAGCCCGTGTACTTAACCCCTGTGCATAAGTATTACTCTTCCCACAGAATGTTACACCTGGGAGGGAATATAATGATAATCTAGTCCAATCAACTTCTAAAAGAGGAAGCCAAGGTCCGAAGATGGAGGTTACTAGTTTAAGAGCCCAGCGAGGCAGCATGATGGAGGAGGGGAGAACGGCACCTTCTTCTGACCCACAGGTCCTGTCATGACTCCAGCAGCTGCATCTGATACCTGCAGCTGGAGGATCTGGGATTCTGCAGATGTCTATACTCTGCAATGAATTTCCAAGTTACACACTTACCTGTTTCTGGGGCCGGGTGTTCCCCTCCTCCTCGATCACTCTTGGACTCAAAAATATAATTTTCCTCTTTTCTGTTCTTCCCTGAGGAGCCACGATCTACAGGAAACAAATAGAACATATACTGAAGGTACAGCAGAAACTTCAGGAAACAGACATGAAAAGACAGCCTTATTTGTTTTTTTAGGATGGGTTTCAAGGACTTACAGAATTTATTTCTCTAGTAAACCTAGGTCTGTGATGGATACTAACACACTGGACAGCTCACGTGACCGGTTTAGTAATGCGGAGCATGGGGCTAGAATAAAACCGTGGGCAGAGAAAGGGAAGAGGCAGAAGGCACCGGAAGTCCAACCGGCGCCCTGACCCTGGAGGGTGAAGGAGAGGCCTTGGCTCGAAAAGTCAAGGGTAATCTCTGGACTTCATACCACAGAAAGCAGAAGCAGTCCACAGAGGTTTTTCTTTAAAAAAAATGAACAGTAAGCGGGAGCCTGGGTGGCTCGGTCGGTTAAGCGTCTGCCTTCGGCTCAGGTCATGATCCGGGGTCCTGGGATCGAGCCCCACATCGGGCTCCCTGCTCAGTGGGGAGCCTGCTTCTCCCTCTCCCACTCCCCCTACTTGTGCGCTCTCTCTCTCTCCCTTTTTTATTTATTTTAGAGAGAGAATAAGAGAGAGCATGAAAGAGGGGAGGTTCAGAGGGAGAAGCAGGCTCCCCGCTGAGCAGGGAGCCAGACACGGGGCTCGATCCCAGGACCCTGAGATCATGACCTGAGCCGAAGGCAGATGCTTAACCAACTGAGCCACCCAGGCGCCCCTAAATAAATAAAATCTCAAAAAAAAAAAAATGAGCAGTGAGCATACAGAAGGCGCTCAGACACACTATTTGACTTTCTTACCTCAACCCTACTTGGCAGGTATTCATTGCTTCATGTGTTCTGGTTTGGTCAGAGAGGCTTGGCACCTGCCCGGGTTCTTTCGAGTAGTAAGTGGGTGACAGGGCTGGGGTTTATTTATTTATTTATTTTTATTTACTTTTTGAGAGAGAGAGAGTGTGTGCAAGCGAGTGGGGGCAGGCGGAGGCGGGGAAGTGCTGGGAGGCACGGAGGGAGAGGAAGAGAGAGTCATAACCAACTGAGCCACCCAGGCACCTCAGGGCTGGGATTTAAACCCAGGTGTGCCTAACTGCTTGTTGGCGGAAACCAGCCCTTGTGATGTAATAATGTGCTGGTAATTGCTCACTCTATTCCGTTATATTATTGAGAACAAATAGTGAGAAAGATCAAATCTTAGGACTTTTATCCCAGGTCTGATGAGCCACGATTATACCATTGTATCATCTCCTATCTAGGAATTGACAACATTTGTGTGCTTATTACATTGACAATATAATGAATAACGAGCTAGTGGAGTTGCCCTCCTGCTGTGATCTCAGGGGAGACTGTGGGATAATATAATTCTCAGTGACAATATATTAGAAATGATGAACTGGCATGAGGAATTTTACTGAGAAACAAAACCAAATTTTAAAGCTTCTTTACTCATAGGTCATCAACAGGTACGTTCGTAACTCCTGCAACTGAAATCAGGCTACTTAAATGTAGTATTTATAAAATTCTTTGTAATTTGTACTAAGGGATATGCCTGGATTTACTAAGGATCACAAAAATCAAGAGGAAAATGGAAAATTGTGAAATTATTGCAGGTACCTACTAGAGCCAGAAAGCCATGACTTAAACCGATCGTAGCAGCCCCGGGCTAACGCTGTTAAAGAGAAGGGACTGCAAATACATTTAATTTCTTTAAGGCATCCTTGACGCTCCTTTTCACTCAGCCCCGCCAGTCATCCATCTCGGTACAGTGCAGACCCTGTCTAGGATACCCTGTGAAATATCCCCGGCTGTGGCCCCTCTTCTCTGTCCTCAAGGCCACAGCCTTAGGTGTCTGTCACCTTTAACTCAAGCACTGCAAGAACCTCTGCCCCGGGCGGGGTGTGTCTGCCAAGGTTCTCACCCACACTCCCCAGTGTCCGTGCCAAGAGGCTGGCCCACATTTGCTCCCTCCCATTCTGCTGTGCTTCTCCATGTTACTCTAAAAGGACCCATCCAGGCCACCTGCATATAGCCAGTAATGTGGGCTGTCCGCCATAAACTCCTGGCCCAAAGAGAATGAGACGCATGAGTAAGGCATAAGCAATTTCTTGTAGGCCAGAGAATCAGATTTACTTTTCAAGTTGATTGCTATTATTGTCCACTTGACCGTGGTGGTGTAAGGCCCGCTCCCACCCAGAGCCGTGAGGGGAGGGAAAGGAAGAGGGGCAGCCGGTGAGAGACTATACTCACGGACAAAGGGGTGGCTGCCTGGCGCTGTGGGGGCCCGGGTCCCAGTAGGATGGGGACAGGGACCACTGAATCTAAGCTATTGGGGTTGGGGGAGCGCTGAGGCCATTGAGAACCTGGGCTGTCCTCCACATGGCAAGCTGATTTCGACCCCTTGGGATTTTGTGGACCAATTAAAAATTCAATATGATTTTGGGGCCAATTTGGGGTTGTCAATTTTTTATTTTGCCAAGACATTGAAAGAAATGGCCATTTATGAAGGCCATTGCCTTTATTTCATTATAAAGTGAGGAAATGTGTAAACCCACAAAACATGAAGAATTTAATCCATAAAAAGGACAGCTCTTTAAATTGAATAAGTTCAGCCTTATAAAAAAGCCTGCTTTGTCCTTATTTTTCTCATTTTTGCCAGGAATGCATGAAAGCTTTATCACGGGTGGGTACTGATCCTTCCTCGACTGGACTAAATTCGGTTACCCTCCTTCTCGACTCCACCTGTCCGGATGCCTCAGCAGGGCTTTCGAGGTCCTCTGTATTGCCCTCAATTCTCGATAAACACCCTTCACTTTGGGTAGCTGGGATCCCCTGCTTCAATAATTGTCATTCCCAAACCCATTTGCTCATGCAATTAATTAGAACCCTTGTTTTCCATGTATTCAAACTCTTTCTGCCCACTGTTCAGAGCACAGTGCAACGTTCATGCCTGTCACAGGTAGGGCTGCCTGTCCACGAGGCTCAATGGGTAAAGAGCCGGCAAAACTGTTTCAACTTGATTTCTCTTAAAATTACAAGAACACAATGGATATGATAATAGTGAATCTAGCCTATGTTATATTAATCTCTATACCAACACAGTCATAAAGCATAATATTTGTTTTTTTTAGGGCCCATGAAAGTTATAATGCAGATCTCCAAGTGGCCAACCCGACTTCTCTAGCACCCACAGATCTCTTCCTTCGGAGCTTCTAATGCCCTAATAGAAAGAACTGTATAAGCAGGTCTTAAGGGAATTGTAGCTGTTTCCTGTCTCTGTAGCTAAGAGAAAAGGTCCTTGAACTCACAGTGAGGCTTGTGGCTGAAGCCATCATCCCACTGGGGCTGGTATTTAGACACTAAGTTAAATTCTGGCTTTATTACTTATTAGCTGTGTGACCTAGTCTCAGTGTCTTCAACCATAAAATGTGGCTAATGATTTCTGCACACCACCAGGTTGCTATAAAGACCCAAGACGTGCACAGTGACAGGCACTCAGTAAGTCCTCTCTCCAATAATAAATCTGGAAGTGGGAAGATCACATGGCTGAGAACTCATGTCCTATTTTTTAGAAATAATGAGCCAGGAATAAAAACATCAGAATTTACCAACCTCCAATTCTTTCCAGAGGATTAACTAGTTTGTCTTTTACCCAATGGAAAAATATAAAATAACTACATTCACAATTCCCCCCTGCCCCTGTCTCTTTCCAACAAAGATGAGAGATTGCTCACTCTAATTCTGAGTAGGAACTCGGTACTGGGGCCACCACTGCACTGTTTTTATCTTTTTTATTTGCACTGTCTTATTGGCTTGTCGCTCTCTCACCCAAGTTTCCTAGTGAATGCCACTGCCCTCGAATGCTCCAGCAAAAAGTCATCAGGCATGAACAGCTACTGAGAGACCTAGATTATATTTACATACAGTGTCTCACGCAATCCTTGTAGCCACTCTGTGAGAAGATACTATTATCCTGAAAGGAAATGCAGTTCAGAGCAGTTAATGACTTGGCATCTAGTAACTGGTGGTGCTGGAATTAGAACCCAGGACTGATCCAGAGCAGGAGCGTTTCTACTCAACCATACTGTTCTCAGAGCCACAGATCCAAGAACTTAGAGTTGATACCGTACTTATTTACTCATATCTAGAGTAATGTATATCTACCATATTTATTTACTGAAATCAAAATACCTTGACAAAAATCACAAATTTAAATATTTCCTTAGGAAGTCTGAGACAAAGCTCTATTAAGGATGCAGCAGAGAAAGAGCTTAATTGTACTTAGAAAGGGGATCTTGCCTTGGAGATGGGTTCATGTGGAAAACTGGACAAATTCATTCTGCATCTTCAGTTGTCAACTTTGAAGAGTATTTTCTTAGCTGTCCTCAGGGAGGGATCAGGCAGGGAGAGGGCAGTGCACACAGGAGACTTAAGACACAACTGCCACAGACTCTAGAATTTCCAGGGGATTTGCCCTGCTTGAGTCGGTATTTGAAATGTGAATTTCTGTTTTCTACATTTCAGGGAGGAAGTCACTGTCATTTCCCATTCACTTTGCCTAGATGCCAACGTATGGCACACCACAGAGAAACCCTTCACTTCCTCCTGTCCTACGGTAGGCTCTCTCCAGAGTGGCAAGTCAAAACAAAGTAGACAAAGATGGCATTTGCTTCTGCAAATAGCTTATTTCTAATGACCCTTTTACATAGTTAATGTCTTAGGAAATTATTTTGTCCCTTTTCTGAATGACATATTGTGCTATGTGTACATGCATAGCCACGCATTCACAGAAGGAGTTGGAAGCTGGATAGAGTTGTTTTAAATTCATTTTCAGTCACCACAGAACATGCAGGCATGTTCTGGAAGGAAGGTGGAAATACCAGCTGGAAAAGTGGCTACAATACAGGCCTGCCTTCCAGAATGCTCTATGGCTTCCTATGACCACCTGCTGACTAACACAGACAACAGAATTGTTCTTTGTCGCTATTCACTGGCAGAGCACACTGCATGGCTGCAAAGTGGGTAAGAGGGAGCTGTCTTCAGGAAACGTTCTGGATTGTACTAGGATAAGATCCATCCATTTCAGAAAACAGTTGATTCCTGCTATCACGTTGGAGCATTAACAGGCTATTCAGCTATGCTGCTTATCAGGCTTCAACAAATTCAAACTACCTTCCCAGAAATGTTGTTTTATAGTTTCAGGATGTTTTCTCAATAAGAAAAGAGACACAGTCCAGCATAATGAAAAGATGAAATACCCACGAAAAATACAGGGCACATGAAAAAACCCTTTTTTTTTTTTTAGATTTTATTTATTTGAGAGAGAGAATGACATAGAGAGAGAGCATGAGATCGGGGAGGGTCAGAGGGAGAAGCAGACTCCCCACTCAGCAGGGAGCCTGATGCGGGACTCGATCCCGGGACTCCAGGATCATGACCTGAGCCGAAGGCAGTCGCTTAACCAACTGAGCCACCCAGGCGCCTGAAAAAACCCTTTTGAATACTGTTTATAAGGATATCCTCTCTGGATAAAACACCTTCCACACTAATGCAAAGGTCACAGTTGCTCACTGCAGTTACCACCAGAGAGAAGTTGAAGGGCAAGGCTTCAGCACGTTTAGCGGGGATGTGAGAAAGTGCAGGCAGAGGCCCCTGCGTCTGTACAGAAACCGCGCATTCTCCCAAGTCCATGCTTCAGTCTGGATCCTTAGGGCATCTGGTTGACTTGCTGGGCTGGACATGAATTCTCAAGTTTCAAAAACTGGACTCACTGTGAACGTGGATATACCACTTTTCTAGCACTCTGCAGTGCCAGGAGTCAGATTTCTTTCCTCTGGCTGGGTCAGATAGAAGAGGACAGCCTTGTTCATGAGTGACGTGCCACCCAGGGAACAGGCCCTGCAGAGGCAGGCACGTCTAACAGTTCAGCCATTGAGCTCCTGCGTGCTGAGCACACAGTCTCGACCCGCGGTGCTAAGCGCACGGGGTATGCGTTCCCCGTGTAACTGAGTATCTGTACAAATCCTTGGTTTGATCCTTACTAACATGCTTAGGAGAAATTCCTAATTGTGAGATAACTGAATCAAGGCACATGCAGATTTAAGGCTTCAGAACCTGCCCTCTAGAAGATTGTACTAAATTTTTAAAAAAGATTTATTTATTTTAGAGAGAGCACTCGCAGAGGGGAGGGGCAGAGGGAGAGAGAGTCTTAAGCAGATTCCGCACTGAGTGGGGAGCCTGATGCAGGGCCTGATCTCACGGACCTGAGATCACGACCCGAGCAGAAACCAAGTCAAGAGTCGGTCGCTTCACCAAAGGCGCCACCCCAGCGCCTAAGATTGTACTAATTTTAATCCCACCCAAAGTGCAGGAGTCTTGTTTCTCTGTGCTCTGTACATTAATTATTATATTTTTTCACCTTGCTAATGTGACAGATGAAAAACTGCATTTCATCACTTTCTGTACTACATGATCCTAGTATCTCTTTAAAAAATCTTCAATGAGTTAAGTTTTTTTTTTTTTTAAAGATTTTATTTATTTATTTGACAGAGAGAGACACAGCGAGAGAGGGAACACAAGCAGCGGGAGTGGGAGAGGGAGAAGCAGGCTTCCCACTGAGCAGGGAGCCTGACGCGGGGCTGGATCCCAGGACCCTGGGACCATGACCTGAGCCGAAGGCAGACGCTTAACGACTGAGCCACCCAGGTGCCCCATAACTGGACTTTTAATCTCTCTGCCTCTGTGAAACTCCATTCTTTACATCTTTATAGCCAAAGTCAGAGGCTTATTATCAAAAAGGACAAAGCAGAGATTGCAGATACATTTCAAATTGAGTGCTGGCTCCCATCAAGTGGTGGTGCAGCCTGGAGTATTGTTTTCAAAGAAATTCTGAGGCTGAATCCTCACCACCCGGGAGTCAGCACTGGGATCAGTCTCTGGCCGGGATGAGGGCACAAGCATCAGACCATGGATCATTCCGGAAGCACTCCCCATGTTACACAGGGGCTTCAAGGCCATCTGGTTGAAATCCCTTCCTAACTGCTGAGGGAACAGGTCCAGAGTATGAAGCAGCTTGCTCAAGGCTCTAAAGGCAGAGCCAAGACTGGACCTAAGTTAAGGAGACCTGGCCTTTGGTCTCCACTCTGCCTTCAGCTGATCCACTCACCCTCACGTGAGCCTCTCTACCGCAGAGTCGCAGCGAGAGTCCATCCGTCCTGGCCTCCGAGAACTCAGTCCTGTCCGCCAGCTCCTCATCCCTTCAGCCCTCCTGCCCAGAGCCTTGGTCTCCCCTGATTCTGGCCTCAGGGAGCTAGACCTTCCATTCGGAGAAAACGGACTAAAACAAGGCGTGGATGCACTGACTGAGCTGCCCAGCAGATGGCAGTACGAACAAGGAAGAGACCCAACGCAGGGCTCTGAGAGGGCCTAAATCTGAGCCCATTGCGGAATATTTTGTGCAGGTATCTGTAGAGAGGCACTTAAAATCTAAACAGTAGATAAACAAAAGATTGGAAAGAAATATACCAAAATAGTAAAAGCTGTTTTCAGTAAAGTGTGGTGTTTTAAGTCATTTTCCTTTTTTATTATTTGCATCTCCTGCAATGAACAAAAAATTTTCACCAAGAAGTTATTAAAATAGTGACAGATTATTTCCGTATAATGTAGGCAGAGTTGGAGTACTGAAAGGACATTTACAAAAGTGTACAGAAATGGGAGATTCTATATTTCTGTCTATGTCATCAACAAATACAAATGTGCAAAAATAAATTTAAGATGATAGAATGCTAATGCTTCAGCAGTGTGAATATATTTAAAAATCTATTAGCCCTATTAGAAAGAACAAAAAATTACAGATTTAGTTAAATTGGGGACAAAAACACTGAAATACTGGCACATGAAACCATTTCCATATGATACATTTTCTTCACATTCACTTGCTTAGTGTGAAGAGGATTTACATGAATACATAGGGGTTATGCTGCTTCATCTCAAAATTAACACTTAAAACCTAAAATTTAACACTTAGGGCATTTGTTTCCTTAATACAGGTGTTGAAATTGCCTAGTTCTAACTTACTTACTAATAAATGTACTGGTATCTCTGGAGTATGTATGAATGTATGAATGTATTTAGTAGGTGTTCTTTACTATAAATAATCAGTGCAAATAGTTTTTTTTCATTTTTGGCCAAATTCTTCATTTTAACTCTCTTCTTTCTTGTATTTCCTTAACACTCTTCAAATATAACCTGAGTTTTGGGGCACCTGGGTGGCTCAGTCGTTAAGCGTCTGTCTTTGGCTCAGGTCATGATTCCAGGGTCCTGGGATCGAGCCCTGCATCGGGCTCCCTGCTCAGGGGGAAGCCTGCTTCTCCCTCTCCCACTCCCCCTGCTTGTGTTCCCTCTCTCGCTGTATCTCTTTCTGTCAAATAAATGAATAAAAATCTTTAAAAAAAAAAGACACAAAGTTAAAAAACAAAACAAAACAAACAAACAAAAAAAACCAAATATAACCTGAATTTCGAAGCCAAGCATCACTATAGAACATGAGGCTGTTTCTGGAGCACCTGCTCAGCTCCTTACCTGGCATCACAGGATCGGTTTGACTCTCTGATCCCCAAAACATGGAATGATTCCTCTTCTCCATATTTGATAATGCTGGTGGCTGGTTTTGGACAGTGACTTTCTGGGACTTTTCCAAGAAGGAGCTTCCTGCTGCATCTTTTCTTGGTCCTGTGGTTCTAGGCTGGGCAGTCACTGTGTGGGTCACCATCTTCTGGTCAAGGCTCACTGGAACGTGGAAGAGCTACTGTTAGTTGTTGGGTTCCTTTTCTGAACTGTAATTAAAACCACTAAATTTGGTGGGGCGCCTGGGTGGCTCAGTCGGTTAAGCGGCTGGCAGACTCTTGGTTTCAGCTCAGGTCAGGATCTCAAGGTCATGGGATCAGCCCCATGTTGGGCTCTGAGCTCTGTGGGGAGTCTGCTTACCTTCCTCTCCCTTTGCCCCTCCCCCCCTCCTCTTTCTCTCTCTCAAATAAATAAATAAATCTTTAAAAAAAACCCTAAATTTGTAGTAGATTTAAAGTCATGGATATTTGGGAATAATAACCATCTAAGGCATGTCAGAGCCCCATAAAAAACTCCTCTCTCTTCAAATGGGTAACCTGTTTTCTCTTCTTCCAATAATTGACTTTCTAAATGTCACACATAAATTGACAAAAACAAAGCTTAAACCTAAGGTTGAGAGATTCTACATCTTTCTTCAAACCAGAAGCTTCACTTTACACCTTCTGAAGCTTTTCTTCTTTTTTGTGGTGCCCTTCTATGCATCTGGATGACATTATAAGACGGATTTATAGTCCTGATTTAGGCACATCCCAGTACATCATAAATTTTCAAAATACATTGATCAAAATAAAATCTTAACTCACTTTAGTGTCTTTAAAAACCATATTCTACACAGCTTTTTTAGGATGGGGAAGAATCTTTTGGAAAACTGAAAGCAATTTTCGAAAAATGTAAGCAATATAAAAAGTTTGACATTTATAACTCAGATTAAGACTCCTAGTAAATGCTCACCTAATGTAAGGCATAGCTTATTCACATGAAGTTATTCACATGAAGTTATAGCTAAAGTAGAAAAAGAGCAATCCTGAGCTTGCATTTTATTATGAGGATACAGACATCTCTTCTCCCGCCTTGCCTGAAAAGGCCATGCAGCAGACTCACAGTTTTGGCAGAAAGCCTCATCAGACCCATCAGGACACTGCTCCACTCCATCACAAGCCAGGGTGATGTCAATGCAACAGCCATCATCACAGAAGAAGTGGTAGCGTGAGCAAACCTTCGAGCATCCTGTTTACAAACAGTCTCAGGTCACGGAAGCGTGGGAAAGTCGACATTTCACTGCATTCTAGTCACAAAGACTAAATGTACCATGAAATGCTTTGGGGTATAGAGACGCAAATAATGGGGAAACACCCAGTAGTATGAGCTGGAGCAACATGTTTCGAGAAAGTGACCTCCTGGCTTAATTCTGAGGCATCACCACGGGCTCTTCTCTCAGGGCCATTCTCCAGGCCAACACTGCGTAAGAGGTGGGAGCAGGGAAGCAGCAGTTCTGGTCTTCTCCAGCCAGCCCTGGGTTTGCTCCCTCAGGGGTCTCCCTCTGCATTCCTTTGTTCAGCCCGTCAGCTCTGTGGGCAGCCTAACACTCTTACCTGGCCATGTTCTATTAGAGACACCATTTTATACATGCTATGTCTCACATTCTTGTTTCCTAAGTAATAATTTTTACAGAGATTAACTTTCTACTGCTGAACCCTATTTGTTGACTACCATACATCCTTGGTGTTATAAAGAATAAACAAAATCTTTAGTTACCAGCTGATATGAATTTATTTTCTTCAGATAACGAAACTGTCTCCCTTTTGGAGCCGTTAGGGGTTTTTAATCTACAGTGTAATTCATAGGAGCTACTTGTATTTTCTTGAAAGGCATTCCCCCACTCCAGATTACGCCAACTTTACCAGACTTAGCTATACAACAACTGGGTGACTTTGACACTGGTTAATGCAGTGTAAAGGTTATCAGGCTAGAGGTAGCTCTTAAGGAACTCCATAATTTTCCAGGGACAGAAGAAACTAACAATTCTCTCAGGACATGGGAGAGTAGTAGATAATGATATTCTACTGAAACAAATGGTTGAGCATAGTATACAAGCCCAAGTGAAATCTTGGATACATACTCCATTGGGAAGCAGTTAAATTAGGTCCTGGGAAAGGAGTCCCTCTGGGTACAAGGCAGTTTGAAAATACCTTGATCCAGGAAGAAGAAGAGAAGAAATGGTGGTAGAAGCTCCTGAGAAAGAAGAGGAAGCAAAGAGCCTCAGTGATGACTGAGACTTTGGGCCCAGAAAGGGGACTCTACTTCTGTTCCAGGAAAGGAGCTTAGAGGAAAAGCGAAGGGGAACTGGGGTTACCCTGAATACCAAGCAGGATATAGCTACTGCTCACATTTTTAAGTTCATGACATAAAAATCCTAAATATCTCAAGGTTTTACTCATTCATTGGTAGTTTTGGAGACAGATTGGTATCTGTAACTTATCCATTTATTTCTAGGTTAGTGGTCTCTAATTTTTTTTGACCATGCATCTGATCAATACATATAGTATTCTATACTATATGTGTAGTGTAGTAAACACACAGCTCCAACTATCAATAATATGCATGTACTACTATACTAACATATTAAACATGTTATAAAATATGCTAAAAATGTAAAGGAGATTAAAAATTACTAAAAATATAAGTTCAGGTGTCTTCTTTTCCATCCAAAAAATGTCGATCTCTGGGGGATCCTCTTTGGAGACCACTAATCTAGATCATATTAGAAGTTTTTGTTGGCTTGGCATTTGAAGAGGTTATCTTCCCCCAAGCTTGAAAACATGCAGCCTCTGTACCCATTGTCAACCACATTATTATCACATAACCAGGGGTACATGCTTGCTCTGCTTCCCCCAGAAAATGCACCCTTGGTTACCATTAGAGCTGGGTTATTAACTGCAAGACCACTATATATATAAGAGAAGGGAGAGAAACACCTCTCTAGCCCCACTTCTGGTTTTCAACGTCTCTATGTGGTGTTTTATTACTTTGATTCATAGTATGTTATTCCAGTCTAGCCAGAGAGTGATTCCAGATAGCAGTTAATAACACAGCCATTCTTTTTTATTTTCTATATGAAGTTACATACATAACACCTATATCCAAGTGGCCTTTCAGTAATCAAAAGTGATTCACGTAACTTTCTGCCACTTCGAATACATTTTATTATCATCTCGGAGAAAGGCCAGAAATGTACAACTGGTCATTTACCTTTGGAGCCCTGGAAAATTGGTCTGAGTAAATAAGCCAGGCTGGTGCAGCGTTAGTCATTGGCTTAGACCTACACTTACATCCCTTTCTCCCCCCAGGCACCTTGGTTGTACAGAAGCAATCCCTTTCCAACTTCTGTAGGGATAGTGGGGTATTCCTGCCTTCTTCCCATGAGCTCTTTCCTCCAAGAATCAGCACGTGACTCGCTCCTTGCCCAGGTAAGCCCTGGATCCCAGGAGGACAGCTCTCTGGGCTCAGCGGTCCTGCACAGGGAGTGAGTGGCTGGAGCCGAGCCCGTGTTTCCAATGGCCCTGGTGCATGCCCAGCACGCCAAGGTACCCCCAAATGTTTTCTTTTTTCAAAGTTTTTTTTTTTTTCTTTTTTTTTTTAAGTAATCTCTCTACCCAGTGTGGGGCTGAAACCCACGACCCCGAGATCAAGAGTCATACACTCTTCCAACTGAACCAGCCAGGTGCCCCTCAAAACTGTTCTGAGTAACTGTCTGGCTGTCCCTAGGAGCTGCACTAAGTCAGCGGCCCTGCTGGCATCTGGGCTGGATCAGATTCCTGGCCCGGATGCTCCTCGTGCTTGCTGTCAGGGCTTCAGAGGGCAGCGGTGGGCAGGAGCTTGGTGCCAGCCAGTCCCCGGGCAGTCACCCTCCTTCCTCACAGGACGCTGGAACCTTGGCTGGACGGGGAGTCAGCCAGCCAAATTCGGAATGCTGCTTGTGTTCTCTGTCCCTGCGGAAGGCAAATTATCAAGGCTGCCAAGTTCTCAGGATTCTAAAATCTCGCTTTGTTTCCCATATGCACATTGACCTATGTCGGATGGAAGAGAAGATTGGTGACATACAGGCATTTTCCAATCTTTTACCCTTATTCTTCCAGCTGCTGGCTTAATTACCATCTAATTACTGAGTCGTCAGGGATGGCAAAGACATGCTGTGGGTTTACTAGAGCCGAGGCTAGCGACTGTGAAGGCTCGCTACGTGGGGCCGGGGCCGGGTCTGTGCAGCATACCACCGTCCGCCCGGTGCCTAGCACAGCTCCTGGGAGAGAGCCCCGAGTTCCTGCAGACACAGAGTAGCTGCAGACCGAAGGGCAAGACCCTCAGATACACACTTATCTCTGCTCTTCTCCAGAAGTGAGTTGTGGGGGGGTTCCCTCTGCAATACCTCTATATTTTTAGTGCTCTCAAGTTCAATATGTATATTTCTTAAACTTGATGAGCTAATCTTAGAAACGTAGATGTTTGGGAAAGTAAGAAACACAGATAAATGAGAAGGGCGAGTTTATATTGTGCAACAGATTATGAGAACAATCGCATATATGTAAAGCTATATTATGAGCGTATCTGCGTAATGTGTCCATGAAAAATTTTAAATAGTCCTTTTAAACTGACACGTGCACAATTTAAAAGGACTATTAAATTTTTTAATTTTAATTTGTTTTAAATACGCTTCTTAGCTGCACTCTCTGAACATACATATCAAATAGACTGCCTTTCTTTGAACAAGATCCTCTCCTAGAAAAACCACATGATTGTCTTTTGTGAAAATGAGTCAGGAAAGATGAAGAATCTACAGGGTCGTGTGGCTCACACAGTCTATTCTCATCCCCTGGAGCCTCCTCCACCCCAATCCAACAGTGCCATGAAGCCCAAAATGTAATGGAGCCTATTTTTGTTGTCATATTTTTAGAAAAGACTCTTATTTAACAACAACCAGAAATAGAATGGAAGAGGGGCGCCTGGGTGGCTCAGTTGGTTAAGCGACTGACTCCTGATCTCAGCTCAGGTCTTGATCTCAGTGTGTGAGTTCAAGCCTGTGTTGAGCTCCATGCTGGCCGTGGAGTCTACTTAAAAAAAAGAAAAAAAGAAAGAATGGAAGAGCCCATGAAATGCAGTCAGAATATAAAATGCCAGTGTAATACCATTCTTCTGTGAATAGCTGGTATCTACCAGCCACTGGGAATGCAAGGGAAGGACTTTCCCCTCACCTCCCATGGAGAAGGCCGCGGGGAGCACAGTCACCGAGACGTTGTCGGAGCTTCTCTGCCCGGCGGTGTCCGCCACAGTGAGCTGAAAGGTGTATGTTCCCTCTTGTAAGTGGGACAGCTTCAGGGTTCCCGACTGAGGTACCTGACACCCAAACAGGAAACAGCACATTTAGTTAAGAGAGCTGAGGCATGGGGTCCAGCATCATCCATTATCCTTGGAGGAGTCCCATGACTCGCCTCTCCACTCCTGGTCCAAGGATGTGAAATACTAAATCATACACTATTTTGGCAGTTTGCCCCACTTGGAATTCACGATCCTCAGTGTTATCTGGGTTGACACTATCCTCAATTGACAATCCTTCGCTTGTCCTTAGCAACCACTGTTCCCAACCTGTAACTCCTCCAAGCTCCACACTCAACACCTGGTGTCTTCCTTCTCAGCAGATGACGTCATCTGCTTTGGGAAGAAAATCAGGACTCTAATTATGGCCGTGAGGATGGCTCCTGCACTCACCCCATGCTGGGAATGCCCCTGTATCTGTACCTGGCATCACCCCCTTTCCCCCAGCCGTAAGATGAGCTGTCCTGCCTGCACTCCGGGCCAATCCTCCATCCAGGCCCTGACCTCTTTGCTCTCTGCCCTCAGAACACTGACCCATCAAGTAACTTCTCTTTCAAATGGCTCTGCTATCACTATGCTCAAGTTACTCTTGACCTAAAAACAAACAAAACAGCAGCAAGTAAAACACCCTCCACTCCAAGATCTTCTCCAGCCATGAATCATATCTCCTTTCCATTTCAACTTACCTTTTCAAAACCTTGTTCATGTTGCACTTGCTGCTTCCATTAGCTCATTTCCCATTTATTCTTTATCCCACCCATCTGCTTTCTTTCCTCACCATCCCCTTGAAACTGCTGGTAAAACTCACTAACAGATCTAGCAAAGGTCACCGGGTTGTCAAGGTCAGCGCTACCCGCTAGCCTCACCTTGCACCAGCTCCCCTCCACTGGCCCTCTTACTGTACTTTATAATGTGGCCACTCCTGGGTTCTGGAACTCCCGACTTCCCGGGCTTCTGTTTCTGTGTCTGAGTTTCCCCAACTATTCCTTGCTGATCACCCTCATGGACTTCACTTCTGCTCACTTCCTAAACCCAGGGCCCCATCTTGATCCTCTATTCTTCTCATGCCACTTTTCTTTTTTTAAATCTTTTTTTTTTTTTTTAGATTTTATTTATTTTTGTGAGAGAGAGAGAAAGAGAGCATGAGCGGGGGAGAGGGGGCAGAGGGAGAAGCAGACTCCCTGCTGAGCAGGGAACCCGATGTGGGACTTGATCCTGGCACCCCAGGATCATGACCTGAGCTGAAGGCAGACACTTTACCAACTGAGCCACCCAGGCGCCCATCTCATGCCACTTTTCAAGGAGCCTCCTGCTCATGGCAAGAGCAATAGCTTCTGAGGCTCAGTTCTACGTTGTGATTTTGGGAGTCATTTTTGGATGCTCAATCCAACTACTATATATTTTCAGCCCTCCCAAAGATACTATAATGGTTTAATATCCTATTTTTCTAGGAAAAATCCCTTTTTGCTTAAGTGAACTAGTCTGGATATCGGCTACAAATGAATTCTGACCATTACACGGTTTATTACAGGGATGCATCAATGGACTTGAAAGTACAGAGAGTTGCTGCCCTGTTAGAACTATCAGCTGCTGGTTTGTATTCATGAAATCCTAGAATTGAGATTCCTGCACATGACCCTGGCTTCGAGGCTTTGTCAGGACTATGTACACACACAAGCAGAATGCTTTACAATCACTCAGAGGCAATGTAAGGAGACACAGCCATTGCCACACTTTAGGCTGCTCAGGAATCAATCACCAGAGCTCCTGTTAAGCACAGATTTCCCAGCCCAGCCTCAGAGTCTGAGTCAGAGGGTCTGAGCGTGGGATCTGGGAATCTGAACGTAACAGGCACCCACAGATGATACAATGGAAGAAAATGAGTGAAGTGGTTAAGAGTGGAGCCTGGCATCCAACAGAGCTGGGCTGGAATGCCAGGTCCAACCACGTGCCAACTATGTGACCTTGTACAAGTCACTTAACCTACTTAAGTCTCAATTCCTTCATCTGTGAAATGAAGTAATAATGGCACCTATCTTATAAGTATCAAATGAGATAGCTACGTAAAAAGAGCTTAATATAGGGCTTACATAGAATTATAAATATATATCAAAAGAGCTCGAAACATAGTAAATGCTTAGATATATCCATTATCTCCCTTGGTTAGTTCTCATCTCAAGCTGAGCCACCCAGTTTTTATAGACAGGGAAATGAAATCTCAATAATGTGACTTTCACTCACTGAGATGGTGGCAGAATTGAGACCTCCAGATGTAAAACTGGCTATGAGAGGTCCCATCGCTCCCCCTGCAAAAGCTGTAGGCTGGACATCTGGCAAAGAAGACCACCAGTCCTTTGTGGTTTATTTCAAAGAGATGTTAAGCAGTTTTCACTGCCATGTGGTTACATGAACTTCAGGCCCAGCTACACTGAGAGAATATCAAACAGGGTTCACTTCTGTGAGAATTAAAACACTACCCGAGGGGCATGCAGAGAGAAAGCTGAAGATGACAAGCTAATTGCAGAGTCTGGGGTGGGCAACTGATCCTCAGAAACAAGAGGGTGCTGCGATGTCTGAGAACATCAGAGATTCAGATGAGTAGGATTTAAAATGAGACAAGAACTGTGGTTTGGGATCACAGGGTCGTATTGAACGCCTGTTGTCTTTTACATCCCATCCAATCCGTCAGGAAATACTGTTGGCTCTACTTTAAAAACACATCCAGGGGCACCTGGGTGACTCAGTCAGTTGGGCGTCAGACTCTTGATTTCCGCTCAGGTCATGATCTCAGGGTCATGAGAACAAGCCCCACAACGGGCTCTGCGCTCAGTGCAGGGTCTGCTTGGGGTTATCTCCCTCTCCTTCTGCCCAACCCCCCCCTTACATGCTCTAAATAAATAAAATCTTTTTTAAAAATCCAGAATTTAACCACTTCTCATCACGTCCACCGTCACTGTCACCACCTTGCTCTGAGCCCAGTCTGGTCTGAGCCCACCCTGTCTAGGGTGAGTCACTGCAGTGGTCAAGAGATTTGCACTCCAGTGGGATTGGAGCCCGACATCCTTTTCTTCCGGAAACTTCCCCTCCCACCTTTGTCCACATGATTGTAAGATAAGTGTCAGTTATGACTTCTCCCTATGGCTATAGGAGTGTGAGGCTGAACCAAGGAGAGTCAATGTCTGCAAGGGGCAGGAGGTGGTAAGCCTGATGCGGTTGGTGGACTCTCACTCTCTCCAGCTCTGGCTCAGAATCAGGCAGTCCTTGCTAGGTGGCAGCAATGTAATAGGTAAGACCACTACTTATTGCTTCTTGGGACACATGGATACATGGTGGCAGATGATGACCACATTGAGCCCTACAGCATTGAGTAAGGTGCTACAAGGGAGAGAAGCTGTCCTAGCTGGTTTGCCTGAATGCAGACAAGACCTAAGACTGCAGAAAGCCAACAGCTGAGGGCTTTATTGCCTAGGTACTTGAGAGGAGAGGGTAGACTATAGGCTTGAACAGAATGAGATTTGTAAGGTCAGGGCGACCCTGAGTGGGGCCATAGGAGTGAGGTGGAGGTGAAGTTAATGGAGATTTTAAGAGACTGGGGAAGCCCTGAGCAAGGGATCTAGATGGGCCATCTACGTGGACACTATTATCACCCCGGCCTGTGCCTAATCTCTCTGGGTGTTAACATTCAACACACTAGTATCAAACTGAAACTCTGAGGACCTGGGGTTTGTTTGGGAAGCCTCTTTTCAATGCTGGGGCTGGAAGGACAGAGCATCCCCTAAGAGGTCATCATCCACCTGGGCTTTGGATGCCTCTCTCTGCCTTTCTAGGCACCTCCTTTCTGATGTCAGAAACACTGATCCAGATCCAGACCATGGTGATAACCTTCAAAGTCCTGGGTGAGCTTAAATTTAGATCTATTCAGATTAATATCCCTTCCTCGACCCCTTTTATTCGTTTAGCTAACAAAGGGTGTCTTTCCTTAAAATCAGATATTTAGAATATTTAGAACAGTAAGATGGATATTTTCCCTTCAAGCCCCCAGGTAATCCTTCTGGACATCTTCTCATATTTATATGACATTGGAAAGGATTTAAAGTATTTTACAAACATTTCCTAAGTGTTAGGGTAAAAAATATATATAGGAGAAAGAGAATAAGACAAACGTTCTCATTGTTCCTGCCAAGGGAGCAGGACATTTCCTGAGAACATGAATCCATTTTCTTGACACCTGGCCATAATGCAGAGTTTCTACAGACAAAAGATTAGTACTGCTTTCTTCTTGTTTCTTCTCCTACTGCCCTTCTCTCCTTCCTAAACTAGGGAAGATCAATATTGATATCTCGGTTTGGCAAGATGTGGGTAAAATGGGTAAAGTGTACACAGGATCTCTCTGTATTATTTTTCTCTTTTCTTCATTTATTTTAGAGAGAGAGAGAGAGAACGAGCAGGGGGAAGGGCAGAGAGGGAGGGAGAGAGAGAGAATCTCAAGCAGACTGCTCAGTGTGGAGCCTGGGGGACTCCACGGGACTTGATCTCACAACCCTGAGATCACAACCTGAGCCAAAACCAACAGTAGAATGCTCAACCACCTGAGCCACCCAGGTGCCCCTTTTTTCTTTTTTTTTAAGTAATCCCTACACCCAACGTGGGGCTCAAACTTACAATCCCAAGATCCAAAGTTCATGCTCTACCAGCCAGGCACTCCTCTCTGTATTATTTCTTAGAAAAGTAAAAGTATGTTACTATACAGACCACTGGGCAAATGGCCAACTGTCCTCTGGGAAAAGCCAAACCTGATTCTCATTTTGAATGGATTCTGATTTTATGGCCCTAGGTCACCATACTGAGAGGATACACACTTTAAATACTATCAGGCATGCCCAAAATTTTTGCACTATAGAATGTGGATCTTTTCAAACTGAAAAGTTCTAGTCAATATAATTTTATAAGTCCTATTTGTCCGAATATTAAGGTTATAGAGACATGTACCACAGAGCCCTCATCTGCGAAGTCTTCTCTGA